CACCAACTCATCGAGTGGATTTTTGTTTATTCATGATACTGATTAATGTGATTTCTCAAGGTGACAAAAGGTTAAACAATTTAAGGATCAAAATTGTCCTTTGATTGACAAACAATCAATATTTCATTTGATTCCATTTATATAATATATATAATCTTAAGAGAGTTAATCTTTATCTTGCTTGGGATTAAGATGACAAAGGATTAGGGATTAGCATTTTAAAGTTAATCAACTTGGAAATCACTTTGGAGTTTGATAAGAAAATTTTCATTTCCTTATTCTATTGATATTAATACAATCGATAACTTTGATTGTCATTTGATGTTAACCATTGTAGTGGGTGTAGATGTATAATTAACATATGAATAATCAATGATTAGTTGATTCTGATTGCATTGATTAGGAATCATGAAGCCTTATCAAGAAATGAACAAACAACAAACCATAAATCATTTGATTAATTTGATTAAATCTCTGTTTAATTTGCCACGATAACGATAATATTAACAAACACTGAACACTAGATAACCTTGATCTTGTTGTTTGTTGATTTAATCATTTGTATCATGTAAATTTCATGGTTACCATCATGATTTTTTTTATCAATTTCAAATTAATCAGTGACTTGATTTCTCAAATACAAATTAGACTCTTGATCCATGTTGTTATTATTTCAAATAATTTTCAAATTATCATGTAAACACAAATTGACAATTTGCCTTTTCCTTTAAATCTCAAAATGAGGATTTTTTTTCCTCCTCATGATATAACATGAACATGGTGGCAAATAATATCAGAATCTGTGAGATTCATGCCAATTATATGATAATTCATGATTCCAATGAATCGTATAGAATTGTATCAATCGTGAATCGGGGAGAGAGAGAATGAAAAAAGTTTCCAATTCTGAAACTTTGTGTCATGGAAATTGTAACAATCAATTGGGTTAAATTGAAGTATTTACAATCATCTTGATTAACGTTAATTGAATAGTAGTTACCTTACTAACCGATTGATTTTGATACTCATTTGATTAGTTTCAATTGAATTTAAATTAGTTAAATTGATTTAAATCATTTGTTTAACATCAACGACATTGTCAATTTATTATCCTTGAACCTTTAATTATGATAATTGTTTGTATCTTTGGATAGTGTTACTTTTGTTAGCTTTATTAATTGATTGATTCATTCTGGTAATCAATTGATTATCATTGATATGTTGATTGGTTAAAATTGTTACCCTTTTAATTTGATCACCATGATAATCAGCAACATGATAAATGATTCAGATTCTGAACGATTTAAAAAAACTCCTTAACCCTTATGATATATTCATGTATTTATATGAGTTCAATGTTGATTATTAATCATCTTGATGGTTGTTTAATTGTTACTGTTAGTTTAAGATTCTGAATTTACACAATTAGTGAAAAAAAAATTAAAAGATTAACTAAACTCTTGGTCTCGTTAATTAATCATACTGATTAAGTTGTCTTGAAATAATTAACTTGATTGTTTAAAGTTTAAAACTTAAACTATCAACTTCTAGAATCCTTGATTATCAATATTTGGTTAGGATTTTAATTTGATTTAAATTGTTCAATGAGTAAATTATATAATCCCAGTTAATTTGTGATTAGTTTGGCTCTTCAACAACAATTTAATTGTGAAAATAAATTCAGTTAACTGGCAACAATTAACTTAAAATCGTTTTTTAATTCAATCATAATATAAAGAGCTGATTGTTGATGATACAAAAAGAGGGAGAAAAAAATTTACTTCTAGTTGCCAATTTAATCTAATTACAACTAAATTAATGATTCAAAATCTGATTCTGTTGGAAGACAATTAAATCAATAATAATTAAGAAACTGAAGCAACAATTATAAGCCTAAGAAAACAATTAGCGAACACAATTAATCATTATAATTAACCAGCAGCAATGAAAGAAATGCTTAGAAAAAAAAGTTAAATGTTACTCGACTCAAGTGTCTTATCATGAAATGAATTTGGTTATCAACCTGAGCCTGAATCTTTATGAACTTTTCCCACCATGATGATGAAGAAAGGAGGATTTACCAGGAGAAAGAAAAAGAAAAGAAAAAAAGATGAACCAAAAATCCAGAAAAACAAATCGAATAACAAGAAAAAAAAAGATTTTCACTATTAGAACTTTTTTTCGAGATTCTAATGGGTCAATCTTTCATCATGATGACCACTATAATTACGAGATCCCAGCAAACGATTCAAATATAAAATAGTTTGGAAAATTATTGAGAAACAAAATTCGTTAATAAAATGATTTTATCGACATGATTGGGATAATTATGATATCGCTTCCCTGCATGAAAGGTTAATCATTTGGTTAATCATTATTGATTAGCTGAATTAGTTTCAGTTAAAATTGTTTGTTCAGTATTGATGGTGATTACCTTTTGAAGCTCAATTGTGACTATCATGAAGGGTTTGGTTTCAAGTGAAAGTTCAATGAACTTTTCCCTGAAAAAGGTTGGAATAAAATTCTGAGACTTTTTTTCCCTTCTTTTGGGTTTGTCTCGAGTTTTCAGAATTTCCTATGAAATAATCATAATAATCTTATTAAAATGAGTAATATTTTATCTCCAGCATCATGATTCTTCAATTTTTTACACACTCTTCCATTAGATACAATGTCAATTTTATGATAATATTTATTCAGAGGTTTAACTCATGTTTATTCAAGCACAACGATAATTCATGATTGAAAGTTTCGTTTTTTTTTTCATTACATGATTAATATTATTATTTATCAAAGTCAATATTGTTATTAGCATGGTGATTAACATGATTATCATCATGATAATGGAGTAATAAAAGATTACCTTGACTTTGAACTTGAATTTGTTTCCATTATAACATTTTGATTGTGACCTCATGGGATAGATTGAATTGAAATTGAATACAATTAGTATTTATGGTTAACAGAATTTTCTTTCCATTGTAATAGATGATTCGGTTTTTCCCTTTCCCTCGAGTTCTAAGGTTTTTAGAACTTTTTTTTCTCCTTTTCTTCTTCCAATTATTCGAGAAACAATTCTTATGGAACTTTACTTGCCAAATACACTGAATTTCTCCTCAGAAAAGTTCTAGTTCCTTCCAATCATTTACTTATAAATCTATTGGAGATTTTTTTTCCCTCCCTCATGAGCCAATCATGGATTCTGATTCGAGATGAATTTTCGGTCTGTGTGTGTGTGTCCATGATTATTGCACAACGATAATCTAATTCTGGTTTATTTCCTTTTTTTCTCATGGTACGACTCATGTGTTTGTTTGAATGTAACTGAATGACAGGAACTGATAATGATAATTCATGATAACTGATCGTGATGATGATTATGGTGATGATTTATTCTGATTGATTTTCCCAAATGAATTGTTGAAACGACTCTTGAAATCGTCTTCCTGATAAAGGGAGTCAGGGGGAGAATAAAAGAGGAAAATGAGTGAGTTGTAATGATAATATTCAATATTTTGTGTTCTAATGATATTATGATGACAGAAATAAAAAGAGATAAATGTTCATTCAGAATCGATGATGATCATGATCATTTACCAATGATTCTGATGGAAATGTATTGATTGCTTGTGATTCTGTTAATGTTTTCTTCCTACTTTTTTCCGTCTTCTGAGTAAATTCATTTGACATTGATGATGATGATACCAAAGAGGTAACACTTGAATTCCTAGTGTCATCCTCATCCTCATCATCACATTGTCATGATGATGATGAGAATGAGGATGAGAAGATGAGGAAGAAAAAAATAACACAAATAATCAAATGAATTGCGATTGTAATGATAATTTAGTAACCATTGTAAACGAATCAATTTATTCAACATTAACCACACTCGGATAAATTGTTCAAATCAACAAACAATTGTAGTTAAATGTAGGTTTTTTTTCATGTGATTAAAATGATTGTTAATGATTAACATTGGTGACAATTATTTTCAATTGTGTTAAATGGTACAATTAAAATTAATACATTATAATGTAATGTTTTATTTCCGGGTAGGGTCATTTATGTTAGTGTACTTTTGATCATTAATCAATTTATTGACAATTAGATTGTTGTTCAAACAATTTATTGTTAATGGTTAGATGGTGAAAGCTATTAACTAATCATCATCAACATTGAACAATTCAATGAAATAATCATTTTGATTGTCGATCTTTGTTAAATTATTTGTAACAATTTTATTTTTTCACAATCAACTTGATCTTGTTGATTGAAATTAACTAATTGTGAGTGTGTGTAACTGTAAATTGTTTATCAATCTCAACATATTATTAATTTTGCTGTTGTTGGTTAGTTAATTGTGTCAATTGATTTGAATAAAAGTCATTTTAAGACCAATGAACTTGATTGATATTCAAGTTAATCATGATTGTGAATGTTAATATTTAATCAACAATCAAGACAATCATCATTATGATAAATATTATTATTATTATTTTTATATAATTCATGATGTCGATGATTAAATGACTTTGAACATTTCACCTTAATCATCAATCAGAATTGATTATTATTGATTGTTAATTCTCAATTCTCAACAGTTAAGTAAATCACGGGAATCATTGGAAATTGATCTTTAGTAACATAAGATTATTAATATAATAACATTTAAGATGGAAAATGATTAAAGATGATTGATTAATAGTCTAGTTAATCATAATTACAATAACAATAATCGAGCAGAATCATTTTGATTAGCCAACAATTTATCAACAATCACGTACCAGAAACAAAACATAATCAATTATTATCATTACCAAAATTAAGATGATAATAGTTATTGATATGAAAAACTATCAACAACCATTGGAAAGTTAATCATGATTCATATTAACACTTGACGATTTAATTTGATTGTTACATGTAATTAGTGAACAATGTAAACAATAATTAATCCTTTGTAACTAATTCACGATTGTTAATTATCTTTTATTTAGATTTTCTATGATTCTGTGATAGTAATTTACTCAATCACTGATCGTCGGAGCTTCGAGATTGCCGCTCAACTATTAACCATGGCGATCTTTGATTATAAGCGAATCAATTGTGACCTCAAGGTTTGTCTGATCGGAAATAAATCTGACCTGGTTCGAGCTCGAGCAGTTGAACATCATGAGGGTAAATCACTTGCCAACAGGTTCGAAGTTGATTTCCATGAGGCATCGATTGAACTCGAAGATAATCTTGATCATATTCTTTATTGGATCTCTAATAATGTTCGAACTCGATTCGGTTTCATGCCGATCAATGGTTCTACTCACGGGAAATTCCGTCGGGCTTTAAGCTTCGTTAAACGGGTTCTTCGAAAACCCGATTCAAAGCATCGATCTTGCGAATCAATTAATGCCATTTAATCATCTCTCTCATCATCGTTCAATTTAATATCATCATTTATCATTAACCAATTAGTTCATTAATTGTTTCCATTAATGAAAAATCTAGTTGATTAACAAATGAGAAAAAAAAACTTTTCCAACTTTTTCTTGTTCTTTTCAAAACAATTAGTTAATTGTTTATATATATCATGCAATTTAATTCACTAATTGTAATATCCTGGATAAATTTAATCATCGATCATCAGAATTATCATTATTTTTTAACTTTTAATTAAAAACTTGTTGGTAAACCAAAAAATAAGAAACTTGATCATCACAATAAAATCACAATTTTCTCATTCGTTTATCCTTATAGTTAATTTGAAAGTTTTCATTCTGATTGTGATTAAGATTTTTAATCTTTCTCTCAACTTTATCTCATTACTTTTATTCTAGGGTTTCAATAGTTAATTGTAATTCATACGATGTAATTGAAACTTCAATAGTAATCATGATTGGATTGTTAATATGTACGCTAATTGTAATGATTCCTGATAAATTGTTATCATGTCTCTCATTTGATTTATAATTGCCATTTAATAAACATGCTTTTTCACAATATTCATTGTTGTCTTTTCAATATTTACAATTAACTTTGGCTCAAGTTGTTTTTTACAATCGGGATTCATTTTTTTAGAAGATCAGATTTTTCATTCAAGGATCAACGTCTATCTCAATTTTATCGTCAATTCCTGTATCATCGGGAGCTAGTTTCTCAAAAGGAACATCATCATCATCATCATCTTTTTCTTCATCTTCTTGATCTCCTCCTTCAGTATTATCTTTTATTTCCTTTGTCACTTCAGTTGGTTGATCTTCCATTTTTGTATCCTCTTCATTTTCTTCTTGATTTTCATCATTGGCTTGATTTTGTCTTCAAGAATTTGGAACATCTCTGGTCGGGTTTTTTTCCATTCTTCAACTTTTTTAGCATGAAAATCGTAAACAAATTGGACCATTGCTGTCATTTCATTAAAGATCGTTGGTTGAGATCGATCGGAAACTGTAGTTGGATAATTTTCTTCTGGAAATATATGAAGAGCAGTTGGTCGTTGAAGAAGAAGGTTGAATGTTGGAGATAATTCAATGCAACTTTTGAATAAAGAAACTCGACCGAATATGTAAAGTCCAAATTTAGCTCTGGACATGGCGACAATTAAACGTCTCACGTCTCGTAAATGTCCAACAGTTTTTGTTCGAACCAAGGAAAGTAAAATAAAATCATTCTGCAAGCCCTGGAATTTATCTACAGTAGTTACCTGAAAGAAGATAATAAAAATTTAGATTAGATTAAGAAATGAATGAAGAGAAGAAAAAGAAAATTAAAACAAACCTTTGAAGGAGAGCCAATGAACGGATTTTTGGCACATCTTTGGGCGATTACGTCTCTGATCAAATGCTTTTGTCCATTATATGTTGTAAGAATTGTAATACTTTCGGCTGGATAACCAATCAAACGCATGAACATGTAGGTTGCAACCACGTATTCGGCTTCAGCTAAATTCTGTCACAAGAAATAAACAAAGATAAATTAATAAACTCGTTCGAATTTATTCAAAATAATTGACAAAAAGATTGGACTGGTTACAAACCTGATAAAAGTAGGGGATTGGCTCAGATTCTCCGACCCCATTGAAATCTGGACATCGATAAGTTGATAATCATGAAGAAATCCTGGATTAACTGGAAATGATTTTGACATTAATTTGGTGTGAGGTAAATCGTCTAACTGTTTATATCGTTGACGGAAAAGTGAACAAAGACTCGGCCTTGATCGTCCCTGAGCATCTAGTTCAATAGTTGATACACCAAGTCGCACAAGTCGAGTGAAAAGTGATTGCTCCATGTTGCTGAACTTTTGGAAGGCCATATTTTTTATGACCGGAGGTAGTTGATGGTGATCACCAATCATAATCCATCTTTTCAGACGATTGTGACCATGTTCGGGATTTTGCAGCAAAAGCGGGATAAATGTTTCAATCTCTAGTATCTGAGCAGCTTCTTCCATTAAGATATTATCATATTGGAATCCAATCTCAACCAATTCACGTCTCTTTAAAGCGGCATGAGTACAGGTCATGGCGATTATTTTAGCTTCTCGAACAAGAAGATAACGACTTCGATCAACACCTGAACGTAACATTTCAAAAGCTTTAAATTCCTCCAATTGAGTGAAAATTTTCTTTAAATGTCTGTAACATCCTTTGGCAATTTCCAAGTCTTGTTCAAAAGTGACCTTTTTGAAAATAGGCTGAGGTGCTGTGGCAAAAAATTTATCAAACGGAAACAGTTTGGCCACATCTTCCGGTCCTCTAGCACTTTTACTCAACTTGGATTGAAACTCTTCCCAACGGGAGAGAACATGATAAAGGTAAAAATAGTTTGACGTCTCACACGTATAACCGACATCGGCTGTGACTCCAAGACTTGTCGCTAATCGACTGACCTCTTCCAAGAGTTCGATCCGTTTTTTGAGAACATAATTAACTCTACCATATCGACTGAAATCTTTCTCTGTGTCCAATTCTTCTTCTCCATGACCCAAACGAAGTAAATGTCTTTCATCTATATCCAAGGCCATTATTTTCTCAAACAACGCATTTAAGGCCTGATTAGAATGGGTTACAATGAGTGTTCGTTGTTGGGGAAAGTTATGGTACAAGTTTGATATTATTTGTACAGCGACATCGGTTTTACCTGTTCCTGGTGGACCGACAACTAGTGTTAATCCTCGATGGACGCCACTTTTAATGGCCTCTATTTGGGTAGGTGTGAATCGGACTGTATTTTTCTTGGGCTGGGCAGCAGGATAGGGTCCACGATTGGGTAGTACAAATGGGACAGCTTCAATCTTTTTTTCTTTCTCGTCAATTTTAAGTTTAAATGGAGGAATAAGTTTTGATTCGTGAACTGGTGATGAAACGCTATAAGCGGGAAAAGATTCAATCAGATGATCATAATTTAAAAAGGTATCGTTAAAGTTAATCAACTCATTGTTAGTGGAAATGTTTGTATAATGAGCAGCAGAGGGATCACCATATCCAAGGATAATGTCATGAAGCCAATCGGGTACAACGAACTCTGAATTCATTAGATCGCGAACAGTTTCAAGAACCGCTTTGAAATTATTTTCTTTCGGTTTTCGTCTAAGTAGAATGTTGAATGTGTCGTAAACACTTTCCTGTCCATCTTTTAAATTAACATTATCCTGATAATATTGATTACAATCAAGCCAAACTCTATAGGTACGAAAATCAGTGTCAAAATGTGGCCTTTCCATAGTTGATTCATCGATCAGTTTTCCAAGTGGATCAAGCATCCCTTCAATTTCACATCCACGAACATATTTAAGGCCAACTTGCGGTTTAAATGGTTCTTTGTACTTATACGACGTTCCAGGGGCAACTGTGGGTTCCACGGTGATTAGAAAGCAAACATCGTGTTTTCGAAGTGACTCCCATTCTCGTTTAATTTCATGGCGAACATTTAAATTTACTCGTATCTCCGCTCGAACTCGTGATGGAGCTTTTTCTCCAATGTTTGGTTTGGCAACTTCAACGATAACAAAATTGTCTATTCCAATTGCCATTCTTGCCCAACCTCCGAACATTGGGACACCATCTTCTCGACGCCAAGGTTTCATTCGAGAAACTGAACTTTCAATGTCTTGACGAATCTCAAAAGTTGATTCTAAACGGAAAGTTTATGATTACGTAAAAGATAATCGTGAAGGGTAAGAAATTGTAGGTTAAGTTTGGGTAAAGCTAAACAGGAATCATTGTCGAAATATTGATTTGGTACCAAATTTTCATCCCAAATTATTTCCTCTGTTGGATAAAGTGGCATCTCATTGAGAGCTTCTAGTTGAGAGATAACTCGACCACATTTGGAGGCGATAATATCGAGAAACAGGTCACGAGAAATTGATTTTGAGTTGGATGATGCAGAAATTAAGTTTAACATGGTCATCAGTTTGACGAGTTCATCATCATTGAGCTGCTTGAAACACTGGACAAGTTTTTGTGAGGTATCAACAGAGGCGATGTTACTAAGGTAAAAGTTTTTCAATGGTTCGAAATGTTTGAAGGTGAGAATTTGAAGTTTCGTCATCATATCATAGTGTTTTTTCATTACATCTTTTTGAGTTAAAGATTTTCCCGTAATATCGTCGATCTCAAATTTACTATAAAATGTCAGGATTTCCAAGAGCTGATTGAAAAGGTGACCTTCTTTTAATCGTTTAGCAAGTGCTGATCGACGACAGATAATTACAGTATGAGTATCATCAAGAATTGCGTTGAAAAATCGTCTTGTTGGTAGAAGTGCTTCCAAATCGATAAGAAATTCAAGAAATCTTTCACAATAACTGACCACATTCAGCTGAACTTTATCCAATTGTTCAACATCTTCTTGGCCAGGTACAGTAGCCAGAAAACGAAAAAACTGTTGAATTAAATTCCAAAGAAATTCACGTTCAAATGTTGCCTTTTCCAACGATTTTGCATCCAATTTGGAATCTTTTTTCTTTAATACATTCCAGTATTTTTTCAATTTCGGAGCTTCTTTAAATTCATCTTCTCGGCGATTCTCTGAAAGGCAAACCCAAATAGGAAATGAGGCAAACTTTTGGATTGTATCTCTAATCAGGTCCACTTCAACACTATTGAAACAATGGTCAAAAAAGATGATTATTGATCGTCTTTCTTTCATATTTAAAGATTTTTTCTCAGCCAAAGATAATTTACAAACATTGGTGAAAAAATGGTCAAACTGATCAGGAGAAGAGACAAATATTTCCCAAGCAGCAACTCGTTCACGAAATTTTTGATTAACCATAGTAACAATTGACATAAGATGGCCAACATTATCAATTCCTTTATCTTTATACAAAGGCCATAAAAATTTCTCCAAATATTGATTCAATTCCAAGGGTTGAATTAATTTTGAATAAGAACCAGATGATTTCATAGAATCATAATAAAAGCTTTCAATAAATGAACAAGTGATTTGCTCATCCGAATCAACTTTCAACAGATTCAATAGACTAACCATCTCGATAAACCAAAAGGGAAAAGAGTTCAAATCTCAATCAACCAAAAAGAAAAAGAAAGACAACAAATAATCACAAAACAATTAAAACTAATTCAGTTCACAAGAATAACAATTAATCACATTTGCCGGTTTGTTTTGGAAAAGAAAAAAATTCTAATCTGATTTTCCAAAAAGTAGCGACATCTTTTGTCGAAGAGAAAAACTTCCTTCTACTGGCGGAGATTCGAATTCTCTTGGAATTGTAAACAATTAACTCTGAATATCATTTCTTTTGTCCGTCACCTTTAATTTTAATTATCTTTTCGTAATCAAACAAAATCATGTTAAATACCATTCGATGCATTGACAATCAGTGAATTCGAATTAGTAATTACTATAGAATGTCTTTTTCGTTTATTCCCTTTAATTTTCTATATTCTGTTTATACTAATTTTTCACTTTTATTTTCTTTCTCTCTTTTCTGGCCAACAGAATTTCATTTGGACGATAATCAAGGAAGATGGATTAAAATGAGAAAAAGATGATGGCTCTTTGTTACAATAATTTCTCTTCATCTTTCCATTTTTTTACCTCAATTTCCCCCCTGTTCTCTCTTAAATCTATCTTGATATCTTTCTCTCTCTTCCCCTTATCATCCCTACGAGCGTGTGCCATGTTTCAACTATTATCAAAGGAGAAGAAGGAAAACAACACAACAATAAAAGGATCCAACTTGTCAAAATCAAGGTCAATCTCTCCTGGTACCTTTTTGGAGAAAAAGGGCCAGACCCTTATTACTATTTACTGATGTACATTTATTATGGATGAAAGAAGGAACAAAAAAAGACCCGCCTTCACTTGGATTTTCGATCGATACGATTTTTGGTTTTCTTCTGCTTCCTCGAGACCGTTAAGCCATCTTTGATTAGTCAACTAAGCTGTGCAATGTTTTGAAGGTAAGATGATAGAGAGAGAGATGATCATCTGGGGGAGATGATAAAGAGATGAGAGAGAGATAGACAAAGAGCGAGAGCGAGCGAGAGAGAGAGAGAGAGAGAAGAATTGAACCAAGAGTGAAATGAAAGGGCAATGATGATGAAAAGAAGATGATGATGAAAGAGAGATGAAGTGAGACAGACTTGTGAATATTAGATGAGTGGGCTACGAGTGTACGAATCAAACTGTGGATCTATATTGATCAAACATGGCCGTTCCAGCTTAGTTATACATTTTTACAGTTTCATTGTTACAGCTACTTTTAGGCTTGATCTCTTCCCTGTCTCTCTCTCTCTCTTTTTCTCTCTTCCTCTCTCCCTTTTACCTCCCTTCTCAATTTTATCTCTTTATTTTCCTTCCTTCCTATTCCTACCTCCCTACCTCAACCTCCTCCCTCCTCCTCCTCTTCTCGTTGCCTTATATTTATTTTCTTCATCATCTTTTCTCTCTCTCTCTCATTCTCTTCTCTTTCTCTTTCTTCTTCATCAGCTTTTCATCTTGATCATCATCATCACCCCATGGATATGGAACCAGAAGAAAGATTTAGGTAAAACCTTACAACTAATTCTGTTCTCTAATATATTAATGTTGATAGAGAGACTTGCAGATTTACCGTTGCATAGACACTCAAGCGTCAGGACTAAACAAAGGAAAAGAAAAGGAGAAGTGGAAAATGCAATCTCCATATCCTACGGGTTTTAATTCACTTTCCAATCATTTAATTGTATCCAGGCAAAGAATTGACTCTACGCAATTGATTCGACTTTTTCTTCCTTCTCCCCCTTTATTCATATACACGATCAACTTGCAATTCTCTTTCTCTCTCTCTCTCTCTCTCTCTCCTCGTCTATGATCGTGTTCCCTTTTGTACTTCCATTGTCATCTGTCGTTTACTTTCATCTTCTCATCTTCTTTGTTCGATAAAAATCTACTATAAATTAGATTTAACTATAACTTTCTCTCTTTAGCTCTTTCTCCATTTAGAATCTAATCACTTTCATCATTAACTATTTTTCCTTTTCTTTTACTCAAATTTCAGGTTGGAAAAGTTTATTTGTCACCAAGAACAGAAATATGTTTCCATTAAAAGTCGGAGTCTATTGGCCAGTTATCGTTATATTGCAATTTGAATAAACATCTTCACGAATTTACAATCCTATGGGATAATTAAGGGATAATTTTGCAAAAGAAAAACAATAAACAATTTCTTATGCATATGAGAAAGAAAACAAAGTAAGAATATTGTTTCTCTTTTCTTATTATTGGTTTTTCTTGATGTTTAATCTCATCGGAAATTTGATGATCCAATCAAATATTTACAAATATAGAGGAAATTTCATCATCTATCTGCTTCGAAACTTGTTTACCAGTTATTATCATGGATTTTGATTATTTCATCTCTTTAAAGTGATGAGAAAATGAGTTTACCTTAGACTTGGATCCTTGGACTTTGGTCAAACAAAAATTTCTCTCGTTCATCAGCTGATTGTTTATTCAATCGAAAGGTTTAGAAATTCAACCATTTACCAATATCGATTGACGAAAATTATCAATCCAAGAGAATAGATTTTAATTGTTACTCTTAATTGACCATTTTCACCTTAAATAATAACAATAACTCGATGTAATCATAAAGATTGATCGGTTTTAATTTTGTTTCTACCTTTAGGTTGTTGATGCGATGAGTCAGATGGATAACAAGATGTCCACCTATGGTCAACTATCTGCTCGAAAAGAAAGGAAAATAAACAGAGAGTAAGATGAAAGTTACTCTCATTACTCCAGTTATCAAATTAATCAATGAATGCGCTTATCGGTGTGCGTCCATAACAATCGCTTCGCCGGACGTGTTAACGGTTTTGATGAATTTATTTATAAAATGAACTCTCCCTAAACAGCGGTAACAACAGAAGTAAACATCTCGAAAGAGGGAGAGAGAGAGAGAGAGAGAGAGAAACATCATAACAACAGGCAAAGGTCTGGTTACGCTATTATGCAAAACGCAAACTGTACCTGATGCCAGGAACGTGGCGCAACTCACTTACTTTCCTCTCTCTCTCATTCGCTTTTCTCCCTCTTTCTCTCTCGCTCTCTTCCTATCTCTGTCCATAGTTACTAACTCACTATTTAGTTGAAGTAATAATGTTTTAAAAGTTGTATTACTTTTTTGCTTAACCGTGAGAAAGAAGCAGCTATATTTTGTTATTAGTCGTGAAAATAAACAGCTGTTTCCGATTTGAGGATAACAAACACGCTGAGCGAAACATGGAGATGTTAAAAAGTACAGAGAAAGTCCAAGAGGGAGACGCGTTTAAGAGAGAAGCAGAGGGAGAAAGAGAGAGAGAGAGAGAGCGTAAGTAGCGTCAACAGGATCACCGTCGACCTCATTCTTTGTACTTAGAAAAGAAATTGCGTTGAAAAGTCGTCTGGAAAGAGGCCTCAAGAGAACGGAAAGACCGACGCTATTTTATCTTGAGACTTTCGTAACGAATACTTACAATTGCGTTTGTTTTCTTTTTCTTTTCCTTTTCCTCTCTTCACCCTCTGTTCGTTTTCTCATCTCTCTCTCTCTCTCTCTCTTCTCTTCTCCTTTTCTTTTCTTCTCTTTCTCTTCTTTTTCTTTTCCATTTGTTCTTTGTTCTCATTCTCTCTTCTTCTCATTTTATCACCATTGTTATTATTCTTTGCTCTGTTTCTTTCTTTCTTCTAGTTTACAGATTCGAATCCAATTGACGCAACTATTGAATCTTATCTTTTCCCTACGAAATGGACGTGAGGGGCGCGAATACAACGTTCTGGCGACTCGAGGGTCACAAAAATTTTTGGGTTGGTCAAAATATCCAAGGAAATGTCATCAATTACCTTAGATTTTCAAATACATTATTGTAGATTACAAGTCAGTCGATTGTTTCAACGTCTCTTTTTCACACAATTAATCACACGAATTAAATTTTGACCCATTATCTTATTAACTTTAAACCCTTTAACCATCGTTCATTGACCAAAGGTGTAAAAAAGTGGCTTCAGAAAAATGGCCTCGAGACAATTAAATCTTAAACTTACCCCAAAAGGAAAATATCAAATGCTAAAATTGATGGAAACGAAAAACAGAAACGAGCAAAAATTAAAGAAACAAAATATTGTAAATAATTAAAAGTAAACAGCACAATCAAAGCCAAATAGTTTCTCAGATTTTAATTCAATCGTTTTAATTAATCTATTGGTCATAATCTTGTTTACTTTTGTTGACACAGTAAAGATTACTAATCAATCAATGAGAATCATTCGGTGAGAGAAAAGAGAAAAGTTAATAGTAATTAAAAAATTACGACACATGTGACGAACGAAGGTTTTAATTATCTTAATCATCGAGATCATCACATTTCTCTGTCTCAACGGCGATATGAGACACAAAATGGCTGACGAACCATTTCCATCATTGAGATCATTTTCTCCCTCGAATCGCTCTCTCTCTCTCTCTCTCTCTCTCTCTCTCTCTCTCTCTCTCTCTCTCTCTCTCTCTCTCTCTCTCTCTTCTATATCCATTAAGCATATGCTTAGATACAAATGGTCGAACGAGCACAATCAACGAATACAATGGAAGATGATGAGGATGATGAAGATGAAGAAGATTATGTTTGGGTTAACACATTGAGGGAGAATGAAGATCGGGAGAAGGTAAGTAGTCCTAACAACGGAAACGGAACAGTTACAACAATTAAGACAATCGTATAAATAAATTTATTTGTTGGAATTGTTTTAATGGCAGTTATACATTTAAATCGATTTAGTTTAATTTTTTTCTCTCTCCAAATAAGAAGAAAAAATTAACCAAAAATATTATTATACGACAATAGAGATTAAAGTTTTATCGTGTATTTGTTTTTGTGTTATAAACTCTATGTTTTCATGTGGTTGTAGCAAAAAAAAGAGAAGCAGATTAATAATATTGATGTTACATTATTAAAGTTTTCGTAAGAAATATAATCAATAAATAGATATTGTGAAGATAGAGATCTTTTTGTTTTATATTTCATTTTCTTTGTCTTTTTGGTGATTTTTGTTGTTGTGGTGGTGGTTTGGGTGTTTGTCTGCTGATTGCAAAACAGAAGCTCCTTAAAACTGTGTGAGTTTTGTGTGTATGTGTTGTGTTTATTTTCACAATTAGATAAAGAAAATGTTATTTGTTTAATTGTTGAGAAAATTTTTTTGATGCGAAAAAGGATGAGAAAAAGGATGAAAAGGTTAGTTAAGAAAGACAGAATTCTTTGTATATAAACTAATATAAATTCACAAAAGTATGAAAAATGCAAAAATTTTGTATTAAATCTGATCAAGATTTTTTTTTGGTTTTTGTTGTTATGTTTGTGAAAAAAAAAATGGATAATTAAACATGAGTGTTGTTGGTGGTTGTTGTGTATGTTGGTTGGTTTGTTTTGTGCTTACTTGTTTCAAGTGCTTGTCGTTTTTGGTTTGTTTTGATGAAGTTGATGAAAAACAAGACTGGTATCTCTTTGTGTTGATTGTTTTTTGGTTGTAGATGATGATAAAATTTAGATGAAAAAATGATGGCATCAGAAAAAAAGGTTTGGCATTCGAAAAAAAAAGAGGAAAAGGAAGAAAATATAAAAAATGGGAAAGTAAAAGGAAAAAGAAAACGAAAGTTCAGAATAAGATCACAAATTAAGACGAGTTTTGGTGAGAGAGAGGTGGTTGAGTGTTGCTTGTTCAAGAAATGCTTTTATCGACAAGTGAAAGAAGTTGCATGTTAAAGGTGGAGAGATGATTTGGTGAGAAGAATTAATCAATTAAAATAGATCAAGACGTAAGTTTGTTTGAGTAGAAGAAGCAATTAGAATGAATAGAATTTGTTTTGTCACATCAAATTTCTTCGTCATTTCTTGGTACAAATAAGTTTTACTGGCCAGTAAGATTGTTATAATCATCTAAGTCATCGTTGTCGTCGTTGTCATCCTTGTGTGATCATCTACATTGTCATAGTATATTCCATTTTAATTTAATTTTCTTTTTCGAGGAGAAGATTCACATTAAATTCACTTTTTGTTTGTGACTTCGATGAAGATTATGGCAGTGGAATATGTAATATATAAATGTTTTTATATATAAATATAGAAATTTATATATTTGTCGAAAAATAGTTGAATGTAATTAATCGATTTGCTCTCCGTCTTTTACTGGCCTTTTATTTATTATTGTTGCGCTGTACCCGTTAATTCAACTGGATCGTTTTGAAGACATTTCGATAGCTTTTGGAGGTTTATGTAGTGGTAATGTAGTGAGCAAATGTTCATTTATTTCGTAATCTTCGTCTTCGTGCCCTGTATCTGACTCATCGGCGTAGACCAGCATTCCGTCGATTGTCATTGCAGCAGGCCAACCTTCTGGACCTCTGCTTTCATTTCGAGGGCCACGAGGTTGTTTCTTTTTCCTTTGAACCATCCAGGCATGAAGAAATTGGTTCACTGTTTCGGTGGTCATTTCTTTCTTGACATATGGAGCTGGAGGATAATCAATATCATCGTGCCAGTTTCGATAATGTTTCCTCATGTTATTGGCATTATCTCGTTCGATATATTCACAATTTTTTTGAGAACAACATTTGACTATCTCTTTATCATCCTTTGTACGATTGTTGCGAGATTTTTTGGGTGCAGACCCACCAGGGGTTCCATTTGAACGTTTTCCTGAGCCATTTCTTCTGCTAGTATAACCTGGATCAGATTCTTTCTTTATAATACCGATACCGTTACCATTATCATTGGTTCCTCGATCATTATTATTGCTTTGGTTGGTTGACTGACTGTTAGAGGAAGATGTTTCAATGTGATTATTCATAGCGGCTGTAACAGCGGCAATCGCTGCAGCAGAATCTAAACATTCGTTGGCTGAACGTGGGGGACGACCAACTGGTCTACTGGACACTGATGATGAGATCACGGAAACATGGCCATTAGAATTGGCAGTGTTACTTGTAGTAGAAACTTTGAGATCAGCTTCGGATCGACGAGATGCATTATGATTATTATTATTATTAATATTATTAATTGAATTATTGGAGTTTGAAGTAGTATGAGTGTTCGGTGGTGAGTTATGGCTAGAAGTAATCACAGTAGATCCTTGACGACTTCTTCCAGAGCCGTTGACTCTAACAAAAGAAGTTGCCGATTCCCGTAAGTTGGAATTATTTGATTCACGTTCCATCCTCTCAACTGAAGCATGAGAAGATGGCGATGGAGATGAAGATTGTGACTTGATGACTGAATGATGTCTACCCCCGGATGATGAACGTTCCATAGAAGCTAAACCAAGAGGTGACAACAATTGAGATCCACTTGGGCTTAAAGCAAGACTCATAAAATCTAAGCTTTCTTCTTCTTCCTTGACAAGTAATTTGTTTATCAAGGCGAGATCATTTGTCTTAATCGGAGGGATAAAGACAATCGAATGAATGTCTCTCAATGATTTCTCCAATTTTGCACTTTCAGCATTATTATTATCCACAACAGAATCACGTCCAGTAAGGGTACCAATAACCTCACTTATGGTCATTAGCTTTTCTTCATATAATTTACAGTTTTTAAGAAGAACTCGTTGACGAGACCATAATCGATACACAAACATTTCGAGACAAGTCATATAGCATCGGCCATAATCGTCAAGTTGTGATAGAACATAATTACGCCTCTCCTCTGGTTCTAAACGCATTTTGGTCTCAATAAGTAGATGATGGGATTGGAAAACACGATACACAAAAAATACAAAAAAAAAGTGAGAGACCAAAATCAAAACCCCAGAGTCACAGAGAGAAAAAGAAACAGACAGAGCCACCAAACAGGGAATCAAAGGGATCACTGAATAAGAAAATGACAATACAAAAATGTATCAAAAAAGAATAGATCCCGGTCCAGATGAACAATAGGTTAGAAAAGATTAAATTAACCTTAATTGTTAATCAATCGATTAAAATTTGTTAATTAAAAATGGAAAAAAGAAAAAGAAACAACTACTCATAAGGGAAGGGAAACGATGAAATAGTCAAACGAAGTCACGATGATCTCTACTAACACTAATCTGATTCTATTTCTCTTTCTTTGCCTTTGGTTGCGCAGAGAGAAAACGAAAAGTGGGTGTGCCGCGCATGCGCAGAAAGAAATTCGAATTTCTCTCTGTCTATTTTTCTCTTTCACTGTTTCTCTCTCTCTCTTTCTTCTTCCCTTAACCCGATTTTCGGAGCGGGTTAAGCTCAATGTTCCCTGAGGGGTTTTAGGTTAGAGTTTAAACTTTTTAGGAATAAAATTTCGAAATTCGTTTTCATTTATATATAAATATCTCTCTCTCTGTATCTAATTTCTTGATGTTGATATAACAGGTTATTGGTTTTTTCGTATTTTGATAAATTTGGTTTTATATTTAATATGTTTCATTTTATGTTCCTAATAACAACTTGTTGATTTCAACCATTTTCTTCAACCGGCTGATCATCATTTGCCGAGTCTCACTGCCATTCGGCTTAAAAATCAACGTGCTAACGTTAAAACCACCTGAACCAGCCACGTGATCGAGCTCATCTTCGTTTTCCTTTTCTTTGGCAGCCTGGTTTTCAGCGGCTGTTTTCTGGTTCAAAAGAGACAATCCATGGACGGAAGCGATATTCGAAGACCACATTGCAATGTCGGAAGGACCTTTTAGAAAGAATAGAAAAAAAAGAGAAGAAAATTAAAAAAAAAATGGACGACAAGTGTTAGTCATTTGGGGTAAAATCGTCAAGTTATGGTCAGAGTTTATCTCTCACTCTCCTTTTCTCATCGATAACCATTGAAAACGTATGAGAGAAAAACTAATCAAATCAATAGCCCTAATCATTGATTGCTGAACAAAACAAAAAACAAACCACAACAATTGACGATTTGTTTTAATCAACCAAACTAATCGAAAATTTTTATCGGCTAACCACTAATCATTCAATGACCATTATTCTTGCTCAAGTTTAAATTGACACTTGATGATTAATAACAATTAGGATTGAATGCAATTTTCAATTACCTTTTCTCAATAATCATCAAGCTAATTAAATTGCTTCTCTCTCTCTCTCTCTTTAATCTTTTTCTGATCTATGATAATTCTTAAGAAATCAACTTTAAATCTCGTTAGAAATTTCGATAATCCCTAGAATAGTGTTTCTAAACGACTTACTTGCTTTCGCTACTCGAGATTCACTACGAGAAGATCCATCAGAACGTTGATTAGTTTTCTCTCGTCTATTGGTATAAAACGAAATCCACTCGGTGGCTGAGATTTTCTTGTCAGCGTTAAAATCGATAACTTTAAAAAATGAAGCAGCGCAATTGTTTAATTTGGTCCTTTGTTTGATTGAATTTCGAAAATCTTTAAACTCTTGCCGATTAATGTTCTCATCTTTATCAACATCCAAGGTTCCAAATTTGTACCTTAAAAGAGTAACAACGTCATCCTGTTTACTTTTCATCTGATTCTCATATTCTTCTGAGAAAATCTCCAACAATTTACTAATTAGTTCGCCCTTCTCAACTTTAGTACATTTCTTTTTATCCCGACGGGGTCGACGTCGACGATTAACTTTACGGGCAAGTGTCTCACAATCGGTCGCAGCTTTGTCACCCTTAGCAGAAGTTTTCCAAATTGGTTTACCAGTATTGATATCGACACACCAACAGTAGCCTAAAGGATTAAAGGATTAAAAGAATAAAGAAAACATGATTAGCACAACAATACAATTCAATCAATCATCAATTAAACATGAAAACAGATAATGAGAAACAACGCTAATTAGATTTTCTCAGGAAATTTGTCCTCAATTGGCTAAACAAATTCAACGATAACAAAAATCTTTTACTTAGAGGATTATAAATACATCTAGATGGAAAATAATTAACGAGGATGATCAACGAATCATCTAATTATCTATGATGTAATTTACTTCGTCTTTCACAGGCAACACAAATTTGATCAGGTGATTGATTTAATCATCAAGTCATCAATTGATTAACCGTCTGATTATAAAAAAGAGAAATTTTCTTATCCATGATTTTATGGAAAATAATTACAAAACGTTAACTCTACGAAAGTTAGAAGGATTATTTTTGGATTAGATATTAAATTACTTTTCCTCTGATGGAAATTATAACAAAATCAACTAATTGTTGGAGCTCAATAATTAGGAACAAAGAAAAAGAGACTGAAAAGGCGAAAAACTTGCAAAAAAAAAGACGATTGAAAATGGAAAATGATTTGATTCCTTTTCCTTTTCCTGTTGTCACTTAATTTCTGATACACAACTGGACTTACCTGTCTCTTTGTGACACTGTTGCGCTTTGTATAATCCTTTGGACAAGTCACATTCGGGTATTAGAATCTCTTTGCCCGATTGATGATCAGATTCCGATTTAACAGCAAGATTTGCAATTCTTTCATGTAAACAGGTAGAACAAGGATAATTAGCAACAATGGTAATACCCGATCTCTTACATTGATCAACAAGTAGATCACATTTAGAATTGTATGTTTTACCCTCTGAAGAGCAAACTGGACCTTGGTCATTTTCACATCCTGATGATGATGGAGATATTGAACAATTTGATGGAATTAAGATGGAAGATGATAATCCAAATGAAACAAAAATCTATTGAAACAAAAGCAAGAAGAAGAAAAGAAAATAAATCTCAAGTGTTAAAAGAACAGTTAGAGAAGATGAAGAAAAGAGAATTCATGTAACATAATCTTCTTCCTCTCTCCATCTATTTCCCGGTAAAAAGTAAAAGTATAAGATGATAAATGAGAGTGAGAAGAGAGAGAGAGAGAGAGAGAAAAGAACAACTTAACAAGGTAAACAGTAATTTCTTTACCTGGATAAACGATATGATGAAAAGAATGACAGTAGATTGATTAAGCCTCATTACGATGAGACATCAACAGGTGAGAATGTTACACAAAGAGACACATAAACCAAGTGAGAGAGAATCAATGAAACATTTAGAGGCAAAAGGGTTAAGACAATTGGAGAGAGAAAAGAAAAAGAATAAAACAAAAAGAACAAAGAATAGAAAAGAAAATGAAAATTATTCTTTTTTCTTCTCAACCACTGAGACTCTTCTTGTTTTCTCTTCGCAGTTAAGAATATAAGTTACTCACTTATTTTCTTTTTTCGCTTTTTCTTTTTGTTCTATTTCTCCCTCTTCTTCTCATCTTCATCATCTTACTTTTCTTTCTTCATCATCATCAGTCCTTTAAGGAAAAACAGAGACGGAGAAAAATGTAAACAAACATGGAATCTTTTTCTTTTATTTTCTTCACTCTCTCGATCTGTTAGTTGGCGTTTATCTTAACCCGAACGGTTAATTAGTCGATTGTAACTTTGTTTACAATTAATTCTAATCTCGTTTATCTATTCTCATTAATTTCAAGAAAATGAAAACTTTCAAGAGTTTCCAATCAACTAATTGTCAGGTAGAACAATTTTCAATTCTAATTCTGTTATCAAATGGATTTGTTATCATTCCATTGAGAAGTAAATTAAATTAAGCTGATTAAGACTAATTAGTTGATTAGTTTTTCTTATTCGTAGGTTTTCAATTGTTATTGATGGGAGAGAGAAGCAATTTAATTGTTGGTTAGATGATGATTATTGAGAAAAGGTAATTAACAAATCACATTCACTCCTAATTGTCATTAATCATCAAGTGTCAATTTAAACTGTAGCGAGAAAAATTATCATTAAAGGATTTGATTTAATTTACATTTGTATCATTCAGATTGATTTCAATTGTTTTGATTTTGCTTTTAATCAAAAAATTATCAGCCGATAAAAATTATGGACTAGTTTTGTTGATTAAAATAAATTGTCAATTGTTGTCATTTGTTTGTTTGTTTTGTTGTAGTAATTAGTTGGCAATCAATGATTATGGCAAATTATTTGATTAGGGTAATGATTATCCTTTTTGTAAATTGTGGTCGACAAATTGTTGGACTTTTGATTTTGGCCATTTAGTTGATCAACTGCAATTGAGATTTTCACACAATTTGTAAAACTGATGATGACATTAATTGCTTGATGATATTCATGATGATGGTGGTGGTGATTAAATGATGATATAAATAAAATTGATCTGAAGAAAATAAAAACTATCGGTGTTTGATTGTATATATTAATCATTGTAGAATGGAATTGAATTAATTGTGTAATCCAAAATGGAGGGTTAAACGATTGGTCGTGAAAATGGTAAATCATTTTGTACCCATGAAAGGCCAATATATGGGCGATTGTTGTCTAATTGTGATGATATTGTTGGTGTTGAAGATTTTGTTATGGTCAATGGATCTTCATTAAAACCTTTTAAATTCAACAATCGAGATTTCCAACTTTCCAATGTAACTGAATCAACTTCCGTAAATATGATTGCATGGGTATCATCTTTGTCCTTAGGTGGTTGGTAGATTAAACTTTTACTTGATTCAACTGTTTGAGCGATTTTGTTGACAAATAATTCTTGATTTTCGAGGTACATTTTAACTACATTACGATAGTTAATTTCTTCTGGTTTAGTTGAATTATCGTCCATCTCATAATTTAGTTCCTTCTCAACGTGGATAAATACTTTCTTTAGGTGAGCAATTAACTGCCAAAATTGGTGAACTCTTGGATTCCATTGAGAAATTATCTTGGTAGAGTTAAATTTACCCGTTTCTGGATCAATCAAAGGGTGAAAAGGTGGATGATCAAAAATTATCGATGGACAAAGGTTATTATTATGTTCGTTAACTTGGGCAACATTATCATCATCATCGATTCCATCACAATCGGGATAATTATTTGGAATATTAAATGTAAATCTAAGAACAGCTCCTTGATAAAGTCCCTCGTGAACGAATAAAACACCAAACCAAATGAAAGGAGATTCATGGGATGGAACTAAATAAATATTCTGAATTGTCTGCTGTTGAAATAAAATAAATTCTTTCATCAAACGATATTCAACGAAAAGTGGTGAACAACGATCAACACCCCCTGAAGATTCAACAGCATTACAAGTTGTTGTTGTGGTGGTGGTGGAAGAACCAAAATCAGTCGATAATTCAGTCATGATTTTAAAAAAATGTAGAATTAAAATAACAGCACTAAGATGAATGTTCAACTGAATTCTGGACAATCTCCAAAAAAGATACACTCAGAAGGGTTAATTAGCCGTCAATCGCAGCAACACATTAATATACACGATCTAAACCAAACCTATCAGGCCAATTGTAAACAATTTTGAGTATTTATGAAAATGGAACGAAAAAAAAACAGATTAGAATAGAAAAAAATATCAATAATTAAGAGGAGGTTTTGTTTACATTTCAGAGGAAAAATCTTACCTTGAAAATGAAAGAATAATTTTTCATAGACTCTTCAAGCAAATGGATTAAAATTTACATAAATTATACAGAACAGAGATCGACTGTCTTCATGCTATTTTATCAAAATTAAAATAGAATGAAACAAAATTAAACAAGACAATTAATTAGAATCAAAAAAAGGTGAAAGTGATTTGATTTTGATGTTTATTACCAAGTTTGTTGGTGATCCAAAAAGGTAAACAAAGTTGAGGGAAAATTAAAAAATTTACAACCAGGTGAGTGAGCGATATGTTTATATGGTCCCTCGAGTTGTGAATCTTAATCACAATTTAGATTTTTGTTAATTGTTGATTTAATTTCCATGATTATCAAAGGACAGAAAAAGTAATTAAACCAACCTTGACTTATTCACCCTCTTGTTGAATACAAAAAATAAAACATCACTTTGTTTGATCAGATGATTGTAAAGTTAATCATTTGTAACATGATGATAATTAAGGATTTTAATTGTTACTCTTATTTGTAATGATATGTGATACAAACAAATTGTTGATGATAAATTGTTTTCTTTTTGACTAATTTATATTAAATAATTTTCACTAATTGATTAGTTTCTTATGTAAACAATAAAGAGAGAGAGAGAGAGAGAGAGAGAGAGAGCGAAATTAAGTGAAGATTGTTCAATTAAATTGATTGTTAATTATGAGGAAGAAAAAGTTTTTATCGTCTCCTCTCTCTCTTAGTTAATTAATCTCAGGTCAATGTTAATTAGTATTGAGCAGAAAATCTCTGGATAATTTCAAAAATCGGTGATATTTTGCTTTCCACGAGATGGTGTAATCAGCGATTTCCTGGTGAACCAGAAAACTTTTTTCGGTTTCAGGTCATTCTGATCATTAGTCACATTCGGATATTAGAAGCTCTTTTCCACATTCTTATTCTCAATAATAATACCCGATCTCGATCAACAATTAGATCACATTTAGAATTGTATGTTTTACCCTCTGAAGGGCAAACTGGACATTGGTCACTTTCACATCTCGTTGGTGATGCGATTTGTTTTATGGATCCTCAAGTTTCCAATGTTAATCAAAATTCAGATTATTTATTGTTTCGCATCTCAAATTGTTTCATCAAATTATAGTCAAGTTAACCAATTGTGAGAAGATGATAATTAAGGATATTAATTGTTATTTTAAATCTGATGCAATTTCATTCTATTATTACATCAAATGTTAGCAATTACAATTGTAATTCTGTTTGAATCTTAATTGAAAGTGATTCGTTTCATTTCATTTCAGTTTACTTGTTCACTGGTCATTTCTTTTTCTTGTTGGTCAGTTGATTGTTTCGATTTTCTTGGTCTTTCGGGTGCATTTTTCTTTTAATGACCACTGGTCCAGTGTTATCATTGAACTCACGATTATAGTGTTTATGTGCCCCATCACAAAGCGGAAAAGTGGCCGATCTCCAACAGCGACATAAACTAATCCGATCTCCAAGCTCTTCGGTAATAAATGAATCGGAAACTTTTTGTTCACCTTTCCTAATGAATGGATTAATTTTCCCTAATTTTTTCAACTTATAATGAGTATAGAAAGCGTAGGCCAAGGCGACAGTGGTCAGTCCATAGGCCACATAGATTGAAGTCTCTCGACCTTAATGAATCAAAAAAAAGAAACAAATGAAAATGTTATCAATCAGTTTGTTAATCATTGTGAACATCATATTGATTTAGATTGGAAAAGGTTGACTGATCAACCAGAATAACAATCAGTTAACATGATGTTTTTTCATTCACAATTAAAGTCAGAATTGTGTACGGAAGCATTTGGGCACTTGATTAACTATTTACACTAAATTAGAGTTAAAATAACAATTAAAATCAATGAAAAAGTGAATGAAAATTTATATAAGTAAAGGAAAAAGTTATCAACTCTTTTCCACGTTTTTCTCATAACGATTTTTTTTTCTTCTCTAAATTGATCAACAATTAACTTCTTACCTTCAGTAAACATTGTTGTTAATTGTTATGAAATCACTTATTGGGTGTTGTTAGCAGGTTAATTGTGTCGTTTAGGATGATTGATCAAACTAATGGAATGGAATTGAAAATGAATAAAAAAATCAACAGAATCAAAGGTAAACAAAACACGTTTAATGTTAGCAAATAATCAACAAGAAAAAAAAGAAAGAGAAAAAGAAAGAAGAAAATTTAACATGGGTGAAGATGTTCAAGGTAATTTTGAATTAATAACAGTTAATTACCAAAGGAAGAAAGTTAATTGTTAACTTGAGTCGAGGAAATAAAAGATTAGATTAGAAATGAAATGAAAAGTTCAGACGTAATGATTATTTACTAAGGGATTACATCAAATGAGTGGATCTGATTTCGTTGTTATGGTTTACAATTAATAAGAAATTGGCAATTGGTAAAATTAGCATTTGATTTACAATCAAAATATTAATTGTATTTGAGTTTGAGTTTTGGTGAATGATTAGGAAATTGAAGGTCAAATTGTTTAATCATTTGATGATTAGTATCGAGCTACAATCAAGGGTAAATGACGATGGTTAGCAATTAATTGAAGATCAAGTACATAATGTAATAGTTTTAAGAAATTAACACTGATTAGAGTTAATTAACAGTAACAATTAGCAACGAGCATGAAAAATTGAATGTCCCTCAATGTTCATAAGTTTTCTTCAAATAATTTACAGTTTTTAAGAAGAACTCATTGTCGAGACCAATCGTTACATGAACATTTCGTCGAGTTGCGATAGAACATCGTTATGGCTTTTCATTTGGTTCTAAACGCAATTCGGTCTCAATAAGTTGACGGAATACGAGGTCACGATGATTCATTACTAACAACGATCTTTCTTTATTTCCTGATTCTCGTTTCTTTCTCTTCTCTATCAAATCATAAACATCGATAACCAAAGAGGGTAAATTGAAGACCAAAACTAAAATATCCTCAGATCGAATATTTCTAAGATTCTAGAGATTAACAGTCTTCTCTGGAATTGATCTTTTTCGGTTGTAACTGGATCAACTTCCGTAAATATGATTACATGATTATCATCATTGTCCTTAGGTTGATGGTCAAAAATTATCGATGGACAAATGTTACTATTATTTTCGTTGACTTGGACATTATCATCATCGATTCCATCACATCGGAAATAACTATTAAGTCAGAATAGTGAACGTAAGTACATGTATTTGGACACTTGATTAACGATTTATTTACTAAATTAAAGGTTAGATATTAATTGTGACACACAATTTGTGAGGATAATGAATTTTACTAATTAGTGTTTATCATTGAATTTACATTGCAATCAAAATGTTAATTGTGTTAAAGTTTTGGTGAATAGTTAAACTGAAGGTTAACTTGTTTAATCATTTGAATTATTATTGATCATTGATGATTAGGGTCGAGCCACAATCAAGGGTAGATGATGATTATCAATTAATTGAAGATCAAGTAATAGTTTCAAGAAATTAACACTGATTAGAGTTAATTAACTGTAACAATTAACAACAGACATGAAACAATTAAGAGGGTGATACGGATGAATAGTTAATCTGTTAAGGTTGGACGATTGTGACACAAATTGTTAACAATTTTAATATATTAACGCAACAATTAACTTTCTCCATCTCTACCATTAACAATCAACAATTAATTAATTGCTTTTTCAACTATATATTGATGGGAGGGATAATCTTTTAATCACCAAGTAGGAGTGGATCAGGTAATAGGTAAAAGAAAATGAAAATTTACCTGTTAATTTGATTCTTTATTTTGTTTTTTGTTTTTCTCTTTTTATTTTCTTAATTCAGTGTTAATCATGTTCGAGAAGGAAACTAATCAAATAATCAGAATTTAATACAATTAAGAAGAAAAAGTTCCATTCTGACCCAAGTTAATGGAGAAATGGTTGTTCACTTAAACTTTTATTTCCCTTTAATCAGTAACAATTTAAACTTCAATCATCCTTATTAACTTTCCCAATTACAATTGTTGATTGTCATTTGATTGTTAAACTTTTCATTTCAATCTCATTTCTCATTGTCAACTTGATCATATTAGATTAATGATAATCTCACCTTTGGATTAGAATTGTATTAATTTTTTTCAATCATCTTAATCTTGTGTTAATTGTGGTGAAAATTAAGTGATTTTGTTTTGCTTTCGTATCTCTGGTTATGATCATCAATTGATTTGATTTTGTGTTTACCCTGTGATTTAAATTGTTATTAACTGGATCACCATGAAAGATGATGAACCATCACCAGAAATTAAGGATAAAGTGATTAAAAGATATCAACAATTAGTTGATGAGGGTTCATATGAAGTTGGTGTTTCTCCTGATATTGACCCGAGTGAACCTCCATCTTGGTTTGATAATGATAAATTCAAACAATCACAATCAACTGCCGCCAAATATTTTCCCAGGTAAATTAGCAATTAGTCCAACAATTAACTAATTTCTCGTTAATCTGTTCATATAGATCATCCAATCAAAACTAAATCAAAGTCACACAACGAAACGATTACTAAAATTGTAATTGTTAGTTAAGCTTTTGTATCCAAATGATTACTTGTCATGATTGCTAATCAATTTTGACAATTTGTCGAACTCTTAATTGTTACAATTAGTTGGATTGTTGATAATTACTTTTTCTTTCCTTTTCCTAGTTAATCTAGTTAACCAATTGATCTTAATTGTTTCGGTGATTATACAATTGTATTTTTCCCTTTCAACTTCCCGGTAAAAAGTTTTTCGATAAATTCACTTGTTAGGTTAATTTAGTTAATAATTGTAATCACAATTAACCTTAACTTTCACTTTTTCTCACGTAATAAAACATTGAAAATGTTTTCCTCTTACAAACCAACCGGTCTTCAATTAATCTCATTAATAACAATCAACTAATCAAAATGAACCAAATCAAATACTGGACCTTATCCTTGACCCAAATCATTACCTTGACCTGTTGCTATTGAATAATTTATAAATATACTTTTATCAATGATTATGTTTAAATCAATTGATCTTTTAGAATGATAAAAGTGTATAATTAGTTAATTTAATTTCCATCTTTGTTATTATTTTTTCATCTTCGCAACAGTTTGAGTTACGCTTCATTTTCTGGACTTTTGATCGGCATTCAGATTCCACTTTTCCTTGAACCTTTACTATTGACTGGAACTCACGAAACAATACCAAAGTTATTTCGTCGATATTTGGACACTGTCCTTAAAGTTCATACTTGGTAAGAGTATTATGATTGAATCGATTTTCGTTATTTTTAGAATTTGTTTTCTTTTTATTTCTCCTTGTTCTCTAAAGGTACAATACTGATCCATTCGAAGTGGGAAGTAAATCGTACCAATCGCTGCGACATGTAAGACGAATGCACAATCATGTTACCAAAATGATGAACGATCGAACAGGTCGAATCGATGGCAAAGATAAACTTTGGGTCTCCCAATGTCAAATGGCGATGACACAGGCCGGGTTTTTCGGCCTCCTTGTCCTGGTTCCAAGTAAATGTTTCGCACACGGATAAGTGATAGTGAACTTGAGGATATCATTTACCTGTGGCGGGTATTAGGTTATCTTAATGGAATCCAAGACAAGTATAATCTTTGCTCAGGTGATCTGGACGAGACTCGTTTCTATCTTAAATATATCTTTACCTCGTTCGTGATTCCACAAATAGTACCTAAGCCTGAACATCCCTACCCAATTGGCCTGGAAGTGGCCAAAGGTATTGCCAATTCCCTTCGACCCATTAGACCTGCTATTCGTTGGCAGACAATCCTCTGCTATTGGTATGAGATTCTTAACATACCCTTCCCTTATAAATTGACCATTGGCCATCGATTGTTACTCGCATTTTCCAAGTTTTCATTCACTTTTCTATTTCGATTTCGATTTATGTACAATATGTTCAATCGAGCGCTAAAACGTCGTGTCCATCGAGCTGAACAATTTAAGACCAACATTGAGGCTTCTTTAGCTAAAAAATATCCTGACTCCAAGTACTCACCTGGTTGTCCGTATAAAATTAGCCTTGATTGGATTTCGTCAAAACCTTTGATTCCATCGGACATTCAACGAGATATTAATGATAACGATACTCGATTAAATGTTTCATCTTAATTTAATTTAATTGTAAAAAACGAAAGGAAATTAAACTGTCCATACAATTGGTTCACTTTTTTTTGTATAAAATAAGATTAAGTTTAATTATTTCACTTAATCAAACTAAAATTTACAATTATTTTGGTCAGTCGACCAACAATTATTAAGATGATCATTATTATCATGATGATGGTCAAAGCTAATCATTTCAGATCATTAAAATGGAATAGGAGAAACTTTAAATTGTTAATCGTTTCAAAAGTCATCACCTTCCAGCTGTAATAGTTTTGTTTTGCTTACAATTGATCATTTCTTACCTTGATTGTTGTTTTCTACTGATAATTAACCCACAACAAGGATAATGTAATCATCCATTGAAAATTAGGATACAAGAGTTCAATGAAACAATTAACATAAATGTTATTTAGCTAAACCTCATTAGATTATTAAGAATCAACTGTTGAAATAATTCCATTAAGATTCCAGGATTCCATTATGATAATCTAAAACCCCTGTAATCATCATCTACAGGGCAATTCAGCTACTTTGTTGGTTTTCTTTTCACAATTAATCAAAAACTAATTGACCGATAGAGTCCATATTTCGTCTATGGAAGTTTGACCGATACTCAATTGTCACATTTCAAGGTCAAGGTCATAAAGGTTATTCATGATAGAACGCATTTGAAGGTCATTTGAAGAACTTTTTGAAAACTAGAAATTTTTTAAGTCAAGTATTAGTAGTCAATTTGATTAATCGTGAACAGAAAGCCAGCAAAGTAGCTGAATTGCCCTGTATTTGAATGACATTAATTGGTTTCATTCAATTGTCCAGATCCTTTTGCATTCTTGCCAATATTGTATCATAATTTGCATCCGAATTGCATCCATCTTCAAAAGCTTTTCCAATTTATAAAGAGTAGCGATTGGTTAGGTTAGATTAGGTTAGGTAACATTTTTTTTCTGTTTCAAAGTTAAATCCATCTAACATTCTATCAAATCCTTCAAAAATGACCTTCTATCCATTTTACGAAATAGATTTAATGAATTAATGCGAGCTAACGGAACAAAAAATCTTAATTCACAAGTTGGTAAACAATGTTACTATACATAAAGTTTCGTCATAAACATCAATCATTTCTACTCAATTTCCATCTATTATTGATTTTTCTGTCTCTAAATTTTCTCTCGTTCTTTCATAAGTAACCTTTATGACCTTGAAATATTACAATTGATTTTTCTGTCTCTAAATTTTCAATTGTTTTTTCAACAGGAAAAGTTGTGAAAGAAGGTGAAGTGATCGAATCTAAATCAATGGAAGTTCCTGAAAAATCAGTTCAGAGAAAGGTCATATCCATGAGCCCGCTACGAAAGTTCTTGGACCAAGTAGCTCTATATATGGGAGCATCGGCCGCGGCAATCTCGTTAATCGATCTTTTGGAATCTCTTTTAAGCCATTTATGTACCGTCTACGAATGCTAAAAATTTTTTTATAATAACAATTGAGCTGCCCAATTTAACAAAATGGTTACAATTAAAATGAATCTTTTAATTTGCTTTTGATTAGTAATTAATTACTTATTTTGTACTAATTAAACTTGCTACCTGTAAGATGAAGACACTAAATTAACAGATTAGATTTAATTATTTTCTGTCTTAGTTGGTAAATCAATTGATTAATATGAATTTATCTTTGAGCAAATAATTAGTTAAATATCAATTAATACATTATATTTGCAATAATTATTAGTGAATTATTAGAGATTAATTGATCAAAGCTAAACTACTTTGATTTGAGCAATGGATCATTATGATTATCATCTAATTGTTGATTATCAATCTCATGAGGGGTAACCACATGATGAGTCAGTGAATCTAAGGTGACACTGAATGGACAAGATGATGGTTTGAATAATTTATCGTTATACTGGTCAGCTAATCGTTTCTCAATTTGTGAACAATTTTTTTCTGCCCAAATTAGTCGTTGTTTTGTCCTCCAATTAAGAAAATTGTAGATTAACCTGAAACCCAAAAGCTTTTGAAAGGTAAACTTCATCAGAACCAAGAGGATTTGATGGAACCAGGTAAGGTCAAAAGTGGGAGGTAAGGGAATACCGATAATATTGTACCAATAGGTTAGATAGACATGATATCTAATATTGGGCTGCATTGGACGGAAGGCATCTGAGATTCCCTGGGCAACTTGATGGCCAATCGGATATGGATGAGCTGGAATCGGATTAATTTGAGGTTCAATGAATTGTTTGTTTATATGAAGTAGATAAGCTTGAGTTTCCTTTAATCCTCCTGAGCAGAGATTGTACTTGTCTTGGATTCCATTAAGATAACCTAAAACCCGCCACAGATAAATAATATCTTCGAGTTCATCATCAGTTATCCCGTGGGCTCCACAATCTTTACTGTATAAAATGAGAAGGCCGAAAAATCCGGCCTGAGTAAGCGCCATTTGAAATTGTGATACCCAAAGACGATCTCGACCTGATTGTCGATCAGTTAAATTGTTCATTAGTTTATAGATTGATTTATGCATCGAACGGACAACTCGTAATGATTTATAAGAGGCACTTGATTCATCAAAAGGATCACTTGTATACCTGTTAATTGAGGAAAATTTACAATTTAATCAACCACGGGACAGAATTTGATTCAATTGAATTACCATGAAGATACTTTGATCGACGTTTCCAGGTAACGTTTAAATAATTTAGCAACATTTTCATGATGACCAGTGACCAGAAGAGGCTCCAGAAATGTTGGAATCTGAATTCCAAGTAATAAACCACAAAAGGAAGCAAATTTAAGACTGAAATAATCAAGAGAAAACAAACAAATTGTAGTTAATTGAGAAAATGATTGTAATTAGAGTAGAGAGAGAGAGACAGAGACAGAGAGTAAATCATTATCAATATTTAACCAAAGGTTCTAATTAGTTAGACTTGTTTAATTATGATCAATCAAATCGAAATGTGAAATCAACATTTAAATTGAAGAGGAACAACAAATTAATTACACAAGGCTAATCAATAGCAGTTTGAAAGGTGAACAATTAGTTGAGTATTGATATTTACTAATAATTAGTAAGATATTTGATTATGATTAAAGGGTAAACGAATTTAAATAGTAATCAATTTAGAGTGATAAGCAAATTGAACAACACAATTAACTGGTCAAGTGAAAGATCTGATAATTAAACATAAGCCCTAAGATTCACTGATATGATTAAGGTCATGATTTAACCTTCGACCTCTAATTGTAATCGTTTTTTACTGATTTTGTTCATCATTTACGTGAGATAATTTTGAGATAATTTCAGTCAATCTAATCAAGTGAAAGGATTTAATTGAAAAATCCTTTAGGAAACAAATAAAGTGAAAGATATAAAAACAATGGGATTTGAGTTAATTGCTGTTCGACAGGAGTTATTATTAATAGAAAACGTTAATTAACTAACCTTAATGAATATTTTTCCGCAGTTTTCTGTGATCTTATAAATCGTTGTTTATCAAACCAGGTTGGTGGTAAATCGGGATTAATATTTGGATCAACACCAATTTCATACGAACCCTTTTCCACTAATTGTTTATATCTGGTTTTCACTAGAACATCAATCGACTGATTGTTGTTGTTAATTTCTCCATAATCTTCACCTTCTATCTGTTTCATGTTACAGAAAAGTTAACAAAGTAAATGAATGTAAACACTTAACAAAATAGTGACAATAACGAGTAACAATTAACAGAGATTGAAAATAATCATGGAAACATGAGGATTCTGGTTGTGTCTGAAAAGAAATCAAGGTTAACTTGTTTTCTTTTTCATTTTTTGAAGGTTTTCCCTTTTTCTCCACTGGATCTACTTGATTTTCTTGATTTCTGACAATCAAAATTAATCAGGTTCACAATTGGAACATTTAATTACAATCAAGGTGTTTCAATCGAATTTCAAACGACAATTAACTCACGAGAGAAAACAAAAGGTAAATACAATTTTCTTTCTAACGAACAAATTAAACAGCTGATTAAATGGATTCGATTCCATTTGGATTTTGAAAGAGAACTTTTTTCTCTCACAACAATTAACTAATTGTTTCTTTTTCCCTTCGCCATTTGTTTATGTTTTACTTCACCGGTTAATTGTTGTCACTTGATTTTCTAAATCGTTACAATTGATTACAGATTAGAATTCAAATTCACCGCGATCATCAAGTAGCAACGGTTTGTTATTGTTTCTTCAATGGTTTCGTTTTCGTTTGATTTTATTGTTACCTGATTGATTTTCAATCAATTTCTATGGTTATTTAGTTCATTTAACTAATCAAAGAAATTTAGAAAATAATTAACTAAAGTTAAGAATATAAAATTGCCTTTTCTCTGCTCCGCCCTTAGAGTTAATGGTTACTATGTATTCGTGGCGTTGGTAGACAACAAAATCTCAGCTTTTTGTTTATTTCTCATTCTGGTGACTATTTTTGACTTAATTGTATCTCTTGTTTGTTGATTGTTCCAAGAAGAAAACACCATGTAAGTTAATTGATTATCTTAAGATGTTCCTTGATTGTTAATTATTATTTCCTCTCTCCTTTTAAAGGGCTTCAGGAACTAAGGTTACTTTTAAAATAACGTTAACATCTGATCCCAAGTTACCATTTAAAATGTAAGTTAATTTAAGATTGATGAATGTGTGTCACTCTGAGTTAATTGATTACGATTTGATTTTGATTTCTCTTCTTCTAATTAGATTAAAGGTACCCGATGTCACTCCATTCACGGCGGTACTTAAATATGCTGCTGAAGAGTTCAGAGTTCCTCCAGCAACCTCAGCAATTATCACCGACGATGGTGTTGGTATTAATCCTTCACAAACGGCTGGTGATGTTTTCCTTAAACATGGATCTGAATTAAGATTAATTCCTAGAGATAGAGTTGGTTTTACACTAATTTAGTGAGTTCAACTCTTTTGGATTAGTATCATGTTTTGGATTACAGAAAAGAAAACGAAAATCTCTCTCTCTCTCTCTCTCTCTCTCTATGGTGTCCACAGTATTTGTCTACCAAAATGTAGACCAAATGTTATCTTGATTATGGAATAACAATTATAAAGATCACTATTTATTCCCCAATTTAACTGAAGTTTAAATGTTGATTTGAAATGAGTGAAAGTCTTTTAATTGTGTGAAAAAATTGAGTAATTTTTTTATTCTCATAATGAAAACATCCAAGATGTCATATAATATCCAATGGTTTTATCAGCAAAATTATTGGGAAAAAAGAACCACAGATTTTATATTATATAGTTTAGCTTAAATTTATACCAATTTTTTAAGATGACCGGAAGTTGTGTTTCTAATTTTCAATTATTCCAGAAGAAAAGTTATTTGAATAAGAAACTATATGGATAACCGTGAGCTTTGCTTCGGAAAATGGAAAGTAAAAGACTGAAAAAAATTAGAGTTGATCCTAAGCCGATTATTGCAGTAACTATTGAGAGATAGAGTGGAGAAAATTAATATTAATCAATTGAATTTCATTTTGATACAAATACAGAGATCAAATTGATTGAGACTTACTCTTTCTTTTTCTTTGGTCAGTTTTACCCTTCATGGCTTCAGTAAGTAAAATCATTCCAGCACAAATTGAAACATCTATTAGCAAGACAGACAATAATTAATTAGATAATCAAATGTTGACAGTAATAATTTATCGAGATGCAATTAAACTTACTAAGTAAAATGATAATATAAGTTTCAATGACAAACTGAGCACTAGAACTATTGTGAATATAAGTCATTCCGGTTCCTTGACGATTTCGGGTCATCAAAGGTGGTCCTCTAATGTGATTCCACATTTGCCCTGAAGTCATAACGAATACAATAAACTGAAAGGAATATGATATAAACAACATGATTAGAAAATCGAAGTGTAAAATTAAAAGAATCACAACAAGAATACTAACCAAAGATATCATTGCCCAAGAGTTTCGGTTATACAAAAAGTCAAGATTGTTCCGTTTTATGTATAATAATGAGGCAAAAACCATCATGAGAGCCATAATTGCCAATGTTGTGGAATAATTTGGCGGTCTAATTACTCTAATTGATACTTGTGACAATTCGGACACCCATTTACCAATTGTCTCTGCAGCATAGCCTTTCCTTTCAATTTCCATAACCTCGGGTGACTTAAGTTTACCCTTTTCAGAGAAGTAAAGGAAAACCGGTGCTGATCCAATACCCAATTGTTGGAAAACATCTGATCCTTCATCAAAATCAACCATTCCAAAGAATAATTTACTGGAAAATGATGGGGAATATCTCCAAGAATTGGCAACAATGGTATATTCTTCCATGGCTAATCGGCAAACGGTACATTGTCGGTGTGGGGACAACGCAGTTAACATAATCACAAAGGAGTAATTACGAGGTAAACTTTTCGCTCCAACATATTGTCTAAATTTATCTCCATTTAAACGTATCACTGGTTTACGAAGGGACAATTCTGTTAATTGTTCAACACGTTCACCAAGTGAAAGTGAACTCTAAATGAGAGAGAGAGAGAGAGAGAGAGAGAGAGAGAGAGAGAGAGAGAGAGATTTAATCAGTTAATCAAAACAGAAAAAAAGAAAAGAAAAATATTCTATTCTCTTTGTAAAGAAAAACCAAAACAAACCCACAAGAGAAAATAGAAAATCTAATTGATTTATTATTCCAATAGATTAACATCAACTTACCTCTGATTTTTTACGTGCACAGGAAACACTTGTAGTTAAATAGAATAGAAATATAATTGTAATCAATTTAATTGTGAACATTTTGTTTTCTAGCAAAAAAAACCAAACACAAATTCAATTGCTTTGAATAGGAAAAGGAGACCAGTTTTGTTTACTATACAAAATGAATGGTGACCAACACACACCAAATGTTTGATTGTTTTATCACCAAACAAATTTAATTAATGACACCAAGTGAATTTAGTTAATTGAACGTTGACACAACAAGTAGAATTGAAAATAATTTAATTAAAATCAATGTGGTTGATTAAATGATAACAATCTAAATGATAGAAAAACAAAACTGTTGCCAACGAGAGACCAAAGAAAAGTGAATGAGCTTTGATATCGACACGTCAGACATTAAAGATGCTCAATAAACCGAAAACCGATCAACACATTTGATGGAAATTAAATTAATTCTATTTCGAAGGAAATTAATTGATTTTAGATGGAAAATTAATTTACATCTGTAATTAAGTTGATTTTCTATTCGATTGGAAGTTAATTTTATCTCTTTGTTTTCATTTGTCTTGAAAATCAAAAGGAAACTCAATCAATACAAATGGAACAATTTCTTTCATTTCTAATTGAGAAAATGTTCCAATACTTATTGAATAATCTTCCTCGTCATTTTCTCGACTTTAATCAGTTTTAACTGATTGTTTATCTATTTTCGTTAATTGGCGATCAGTTAATTACAATTAACTCTTTAATTGTTGTGTTTGAATTTTGAGAAATAAAAATTAGTTACTAAATAGATTGATAGATGGCGTTAGTTTTGGAATTTTTGGAAAATTAATTTTTTTTCATTTCTATTTAATTGTTTTGTTTTCCATTGAGAGTTGAAGTCTAATTGTTTAATTTGAGTTTCTTTGATTGTTTGATTTTTTTTTCTTCATTAATTTTCTTCGAAAATGGTTCTCTGTGGTGGTTGGAGTGATGTCAAAGAAGCTAATGATACTATTCATGGAATAGTTTCTCAGTTAAAAAATGAACTTCAAGAAAAAACCGGACGACAGTTTGACCAACTAACTGCTCTTCAATTCCGAAGTCAAATTGTCTGTGGAACTAATTATTTGATCAAAGTAAGATTTTTATTATCGACTAATTGACTTTTATTCTTTGTTTTCATTGTTGGTTCTTTTTCTATTCTTTTCTTTCTCTTTCGTTAGGTCAAAGTCAGCGATGATGAACATATCCATGTTCGGGCTCATTTACCACTTCGTAGTGAAACTCCTTCCTATGTTGACCATAAAGACAAATTGTCAGCCGCCCATGATTTGGAAACTTTCTAAATTGTAACCCTGTTTTCCATTAATTTTGCTTTCATTTTTCACAATTCCTATATATCAAGTGTTCAATTTAAATCAATCTTTCAATGGTGATAATTTTATTTTCTAAACAAAACACAATTACACCCATTGACAAAATCCCATTGGTAAATCAATCAATCCTCTTCCTCCTCCAACAACAACAATATATTCAAGTAATAACATAGACCAAACCCTTGGTGTATATTACAATTGACTAAATCTAATTACATCTGGAAAACAAAGTAATAATCATCATCATATTTCACTCAAAGGGAATAACAAAAATTTCCCAATAAACAGACAAAACATGAAGATGAAAAAAAAACAATTAACCAGAACCAATATAACCATCGAAATTTTCAATCTTCTAGCAAAATGATTCAATAATTATGTAAACAAACGAAAAAAAATATATTCTTTCCAAAATAAAAATAAAATCAGTTAAATTCTAAACAAAATGATCCACAATTAGAATTAAATTATCGCGGTTTCTGTTCAAATCTAAGAAGAAGATGAAAAAAGTAAACAAACAGAATCTAAACTCCTGCTCTTTTCATTTAATCTTCACATCAACATGATCGATGTTTCCAATTGGAATTGTTTTCACCTATTTATTAATAGAATTTAGTTAACCTGTTTCACTAATTGTTCTCATCAACCAATAAATCGTATTAATCAATCGAGACGAAGAAAAAAAGGAAATTAAAACAGAGTGAAAATAATAGTGTTTTCCTAATTCACTTTTCTCTTCACAATTTTGGTTAAGGTAAAAATCATCAGGAAACAAGAGAAAAGGATAAATGATGAAAAAGAGTGGAATTGTTTTCGATGATAAAAATCTCCTATGTAAAGCTAATTGTGGATTTTATGGTAATCCAGAATGGGATGGATTCTGTTCAATGTGCTACAAAAATCGTTCTTCTTTAATTAGATTACAACAATCAACACCATCATCGAAAAATTCATTTGGTAAAAGGTTTGTTTTCATTTTCTATTCTCTTGTGATCTTTGTTTTTCTTTCCATCTTCGTGTTAATTAGTCATCTATTTTTCTCTCTCTCTCTCTTTGTGTTTATCTTCATCATCATAATTATCATTATCTTGTGTTCAACAGTTGGTAATACAAATTGTGAAGATCACAAGTAAATAATCAAATGAAGATGTGAAAATTAATTTCTCTCTTGTGACTCAGTTGTATAGACACTTGACTTTATTTTCTTCCATTTTCTCTTATTCTTTGTGACTATTTTGTTTCTCTTTGTCTATTTTTCTCTCAAATTTCCACTGATTTAATCTCTATTCTGATGTTTTAACTTTCACCATTTCATCATGGTTCTAATGTCTACCTTTTCTTTTCTTTCACCGACCAAAAAACGCTGTTGCTGTAAAAATAATCTATCGGATTCTCACCAAAGTGATTCACTGGCTTCTCTCAATGATAATCTACAGGGTTTATCATCTTCGTCTCGTCTTTCACCAATTCTTGGTTCATCTGGTTCTCACAATTTATCGGGCCACTTAGCCGCTGGAAGCACAACAACAACAACAAATTCTTCATCGTCGAGTCAACAACATACGCCAACATCAACTTCGCCTTCAAGTTTCACCAAATTTGAGGAGAAAAAGAAACAACAAGTTGAAAAACGATCTAAAACTTTACGTTCTATTTTTAAATTATCTTCCAGAGGATCATCTGGTCTTCGAGAAGGATCCAATTCGAAAACAACTCCAACTACTGGTTCTATTAACAGTTCTCTTCCAGCCTCAGCCGCAAGTCGATTAACTGCCCTGAAACAGCAAAACTTTTTCAGTCTTGATTCTCTGTCATTAGCTGGTGATGATGTTCTCAATCGACTGACCTCTAGTTCAGTTGGGTCAAGTGTTCTTAACACTCTTACATTGAACAGTAGCTCAACTGATGGACCATTGGAAGATATTCACAAACAAGTTGCCAAAGTTGTCGATAAATTGAACACTTTGTCCACCATTGAAGAAATGAGTGAAATCGTTTATGAATTTTATACTTCAATGGCTGAACGATTCTCGTCCAATCCAATCTACGAAGAGGTTGTCCAAGAATCTATTGATCAGTTGGTTGATTATACGGAAACGCGATTACTTAGCTCAATTCATAATTCAATTTTTACCCAAATCTTGACGGAAGATGAAGAGAAAGATCTTATTATGCAGAAACGAATTAAAAGTTTAAACTGGATTATGACGGAACATCTTGAATTAGATCTTGACCTGAGGAATCCCGAGATTAGCGATATCCTGGATAAAGCAATTTCCGATATAATAGAAATGGGCTCAAAGCAAATTCCTCTTGAAAAGCTTGAATGTATTGTTAACTGTTCAAAAGCCATTTTTGATCTGCTTCAGGTCGCTCGTAATGGTCCCGTTTCAGCGGATCAATTTTTACCCGCTCTTGTTTTCGTAGTGATTAAAGCTAACCCACCGTTACTTCATTCCAATATTAAACTGATCAACCGATTTTCCAATCCAAGGCGTCTCATGTCCGGTGAAGCGGGCTACTATTTCACGAACCTTTGCTGTGCCGTTGCATTTATCGAGAAACTCAAAGGTGAATCACTAAACTTATCCGAAGATGATTTTAATTCTTACGTTAATGGTGAAGCACTTCCACCAGGTTATATTCAACAATCAGCTTATCTCAGTGAACCTTTACGGATAATGTATTCGAATGCTGTTCTCCTTAAATCCTTGTACGAGAAACATTCACATTTTGATAGCGAAGTTATCGAATTGAAAGAGAAGATGAAATCTTTTCGAGACTCGATGATGTCCAAAATTGATGCCGTTTCCAAGGTGCCCCAAGTGACCGTTAGCCAAGAATTACGAAGAAAAGTTTTCGGATCCCGAGTAACCTTATCACCTCTTTACGATGATTTAACTCAACCCGAAAAAGAGGGAATCCTGGTTCAAATTGAAGAAGATTATCCAAATCCTAATCCACCTTCACCACCATCTTCATCTTCAACGACAATATTTACACAACAACAACAATCATCATCATCTCAATCAACAACAACAACAACAACAACGATCGATGCAACATCTAATAACGATTTATTCAACAATCCAATCATGTCCGGTCAATTTGACGCTGATTCTGAACAAGTTAATCTTCCCGAACCTCTATTACCCGAAATAATACAAAAATGATGACGATAAATCAAGAAGAAAAAGGCGACACAATTTAGAAAACAAAATCGAGGAGAAAAAGCAAATTAATCTTAATCAGTTTTCCAAAAAAACAATTAATTCCACTGCTCATGTTAAATCATCGTAATTTCCACTCTACAGTTTCCATTTTTCGCCCTGTGTCAATTTCTCCGCCGAGTCTTTAGTGTTTCTATTTTATTATATTCCTCTCATACACTAGTCTTGTTATCGTAGTGAATTATTATCAAGTATTAATCACGATTGAGTTTAAATTGTTTTTAATCCTCCGAATTTAACTCAACACGTGGTTAAATTGTGCTTCAATTGTAAATTATGTTTCTCCTTTGTTGTAATTTTTTTCCCCTTTAAATGGACAATTTTTTTTCTCAATCAAGCATTTACTTGGAAAAAATTTTCTTTTTTGTCAATTTTTAATTGTTCACTTTTTAAACTCAAATTTAACTCAATTTAAGAATCAAATTGTTCATCCAAACAATTTAATTATTACTAATCAATTGATTGCAATTTCTTTACTCTCAGACTACTGTCTTTAAACACTCCAAACAATTAACTTTTGCTTCCTAAATCAAACAACCGAATTATTTTTGTTAATTGATGATCAACAATCAATTCTAATTATAGTTTATCTAAATCACGTTTACTGTTGATACAAAATCACATGTTTTAATTGTCGTTGATTTGATGGCAATAATAATGATTGATATTGACATGGAGAAGCGAAAAATAAATTGTTTGTTATTAGGGAGGAAAAGATAATTAGTTTAAACAAAACAATTTAAATTGTTAACTTTTAATTTGATTAGATGGATAGTAGAAATTTGATTTCTCTATAATTAATTTGACCAGTTGCCTAATTACAATTAACCAATGGTAATCAAAGTTTCATCTTAAAGTATCTTCCAAGGTAAATATTATTTATCGTGATTAAACATTAATTTAAGGTAACAATTAGTGTATTAATTGCAATAATAATTTTTGTGTCTATGAGGTAGCACAAAAGTAAATTAATGTTTCCATTACTAAAATAACCTTAGATTAAATAATGATTACTGTTGTGTTAATTTACATTGATTGTTGTTGAATAGAAAGCAAATTAAAACTGCCGACTAACATTTTCCATTATACAAAATCAATTGATTGGTTGTATTTATGATGATGATGATGATGATCCATTGATTTATGGGTAAGCAAATTGAATTGGATAGAAAAACAGAAATTAAATGAGAACTAGAAAAACACAGATTTAGTTCATTAATTGTGATTAATCCAAAAGTTAATTATTCATCTTTCAAATGTTGTTGTGATGATTTAGATTGTTGCTTCTTTGTTTTACTTTTCTCTTTGAGGGCTTTCTTACAATGGTCATGTAAAGTGGTCAATTCAAATGTAGATACAACATTGGCCTGGAAGGAAAGAGAATATCAAATTATTGAAATGGATGGAAGAAAAAAAATAATAATAATTTATATGGAAAATTAAACTTACATAATTAAAATTAAATGTGACAAGTTTACCGTTATTGGAAACTAATGGTCTTCTCATTTGTTCTTGACCATTTTTGAATAAAATTAAGGTTGGCATTTGTTTACTTAATGGTGATGTGTTGATCTTAAATTTCGCTGCGATTTCGGGATTACGAGATAATTCAACTTTACCAAATTTTAAATTGTCCAGGGCGTAACTGGTAGATTATAATCAATGAGAAGGGAGGAAAAAAGATGGAGGAAAAAGAGAGAGAGAGAGGAAGAGAACAATAGTTTGGTGAAGAAAAGTGATTGAATTAGTAAGAGAGAGAAGAAAAAAAGATAATTTAATAGAAATATAATAGATTTTGATTAGAATGATAGTGCAGACTTTTTGATAGACTTACTTGGCTGAAATTTCTGAAAAGGTTGGTGCAAATTCAATACATGTTGGATTCCAAGCTGCATAAAGTTCAATCAACCAGGTAGTTCCTTTTTCACGTTTCAAACTTTCATCAAGATCATTTCCACTGAAATAAGTCATATTCTCGGGTCCCTTGTAACATGGTTCAGGTAGAAGAAGAAGATGAACTAAAGGTAGACAGATTAAAATAGATTAGAAGAAAAGGAGAAAGATCGAAGATCGAAAATGAATGTAAAAGAAAACACATTCACTCACGAAGACAAAGAACAGCGAAAATAACACCATACAATGGATCAGCGAAAAACCATAAAAGGACACCAGCTAATTTCGCAAACATACAAGCGGTTCCAACGTACGGAAGGAAATTAACAGCACCTTTTAGAGAAAACGATGAAAAGAGAATTAGATTGATAATTGGTAACAATTATATTCCAAATTCTATGGCGAACAAACCTTGCTTCCTAGTTCTAAATACGATGATGACTGCAGCAAAGAACATGATTTCACTTTCTTTCTGTTAGAAGAAGAAATTAAAAATTATTCCATGAAAGATATAAGCTAATCAACTAGTGAAATATTATACTTACGTGATTTAATATGCAAGAATCAAACAAATATGTACAAAATGGATGAACTTTTCTCATTAAAATGAATGAAAGTGAAAGTAAAATGTTGACCAGATAATGTGGATGTAATACTTTACGTAGATCTCTCAACGAAACAAGAGCCATGATAATTTTTTGAGATTTTTCAAGTTAATTATGACGTCGAATATGGAAACAATAAATACGAAAAGTTAATCGAGATTACAGATTAAAAGAAATAAATTAAATAACAATTAGTGAAAGGTCATATCAGTGAACTACGAGGAAGAAAAAAAAACTGAGAAAAAGATGAAAAAGTCAATAAGAAGAAAATAAAATCAAACAATTTTCTTGAGAACACTTGAAGAAATTATCAAATTCAGATTCAATCACAGAATCTTATTGATAATAAATTTAATACAATAACGAAAACAAAAAGAATCACAATCAATCAGTTAATAGAAAGTAATTAAATCAATGGAAATCAAAAATCCAATCCAATCAACAACAAAAAAACTCAATCATCAGCTGATTCTCAATCTCACTCTTATCTTACATTACGAAAGATACAAAGTTCTCTATTTATCACACTTATTTTTTCGTTTATCGACCAATAGAAATCGTCGAAAATTTTTCTTGTCGAATTGAAACAAATTGATTTTCTTTTTGTCCCTGAGGGGAATTGTAATTGTGGCCGTTCATAAAAGTGGACTTAATCAATCGAATCAACCTTGGCCAGTTAATACATTTCATAATAAAATCGATCAGTTTAAGATCAAATTATCACCGATTAATTGACTTCAATCGACAGAACGTCTTCCCATTTCCAAGAATTTATTAATAATCAACAAGAACGATTAAAAAGAAAACGAATTTGTTTTCTATTTTCAACAATTTACTAATTACCAAGACAGAAAAGGCCCAATGAATTCGAGATGGCAATTGACAAAGACGATTTGATTGTAATGATTAGAAAAAGTTAATCAATTTCACTCGAAACAAGTTAAACTCGTAACTGTGATTGTTTTGCATTTTTCATTTTGGTCTTGATTAAGGTAAGAAGTTGCTTGATTTAATTTTTTAATCAAATCAAATTCGAGATGCAAATTAATTGCTTCACATGTCAAGATTTCTTAATAATGTCGTATGATTTGAATTGCTCAATTGAATTAATTTCATTTGAATATTAATATTACCTTTTTCCTTGATTTTTCGTGATAAGATTTTCAATTCACTTATGTTTTTAGTTTAATTTAACAAGAAATTAAACTAACTGGGTTTAAATTAATTGTTCCAACACAGGTAATTACCATGAAAACTTCCTCAAACACTAATCATGTTCTGTGATGATTTATATTGATGCTAACTTTTTAATTCTAACAAACAAGGTTTCCTTTTAATTGTTGTTTGATTGTTTGACTCTCAATTTACTCGGTTTACAAATTTTTCTCCAACAATCAATACAACCAATTTAAAGTTCATATTGATTCTTTAATTGTAATTTCCAAATAGTGATTTATAATTTTTAGATTCTTTTTTTTTCTTCAAATTTTCTTGTTTAATTATTGTTTTTTTTTGTTTGTCGTTCTATCCAATCATCAATCTTTAATCATCTTCGAAACAAAAATGCTGGATAATAATAACATCGTAATCTCTGGAATAGCTGGACGATTCCCGAATGCTGATGATGTCGATCAACTTTGGGACAAATTGTTACAAGGGAAAATCTTGTACAATCAAGAGCGAGATCGACATCCAACAAGTAAGTTCGAGTTCATTTTCTCATTTGTAACATTAAACTTCATTTCCAATGTATTATTTTTCTAATTATTATTACAATTATTTGTTCGAATAATAATTAGAGTTAAGGCATCGACCAAGTGCTCTTGGACAAATTCGTGATTTATCCCGTTTCGATTCAGAATTTTTCGGAATCAGTTCAAAAGACGCTGAACTTTTGGGAACACAAACTCGAGTTCTTTACGAGGTTGTCTATGAGTCTCTATGGGATGCAGGTAAGAGTTAATTACTCTCTCTAATTGTAATTTTCCAACTAATTGACACAAACTATTTTGTATCACCTTTCCTATGGAATATGATTTATTACTTGATTGTACCCACAATTTGTAAACTGTTACCAATTAATTATATTTACACTCAAAGTGAACGGGAAAATTTTTTTTCAACGATTATTGATTTGAATTTTGAAAAGTTTTTACAAATTTTTATGTGATACACTTAATCAACTGGTTTGGTCTTTAATTTTTAGTTATAAATAGAAATTAATTGTAATCGATTTTTCATCTCAAATGATTTATAATTTTGTCAGGACTTTTGGCTGATTCACTTCGAGGTTCACGAACCGGCTTTTTCCTTGGAATCTCAGCCGGCGATGGGCCAGATCTTTATAAATTGGATGAAACCGCTGATCCTGTTTTCATTTTCAGTCGAATGGCTCATTACTTTGACTGGCGAGGTCCATGTGTGACCATTGACACAGCCTGTGCGTCAACACTTGATGCAATCATTCAAGCCCACTGGCACATACGGAAAGGTTTATGTGACATCGCTGTTGTCGCCGGTGTGAACACGGTTGTCGATCCTTTTGTCAACGTAACTGCAGCTGATATTAAAATGCTTTCACAATCAGGGTTTGAACGGTGTCTCGATGAGAACGCTGATGGTTTCATCCGTTCAGAGACAGTTGCCGCTCTAGTGCTTCAGCGTAAATCCTCAGCTAAACGGATTTACGGTGAAATCCTTGGTGCATCCGTTAATAATGACGGCTACACGGAGGAAGGAATAACCTTTCCAAATCGATATGCTCAAGCAAACGCCATGAGGTCAGCTCTTAAAGTGTCCGGAGTATCACCATCACAAATCGATTACATTGAAGCTCATATAACAGGTACACAGGCTGGAGACGCTGTTGAGACTTCGGCTATTCTTGATGCGTATCGGGAAAACAGCGATCAACCAATTCGCCTGGGCTGTATTAAATCAAATATCGGTCACGCTGAAGCCTCGGCTGGTATAAATGCCGTCATTCGAGCTTGTAAAATCTTGCAAACGGGCTACTTATCACCGAATGCCGCTTATTCAACACCCAATTCCCGAATCTCTGGTCTTCTTGAGGGTAAAATTATTCCCGTTCTTGAGAAACAACCTTTTACCTCTAATTATCTTGGCGTTAATACTTTTGGTTTCGGTGGATCAAATGGCCACATCATTTTAAAAGGAAATACGATCGATAATCAGCCGATTAATCCTACAACATTTCCTCGATTAGTAATCTACTGTAATCGAACCCGTCAAGGTGTTGAAAATTTGTCTCAATTATTAAAAAGTGGAAACAATTTAAGTGAAGATTTGATTCACATGTTAAGTGATTTGTCTGCGCTCAAACCTGAAGCTGGTTTAGTTTGGCGAGGTTACTCAATATTGGATGAAAATGGTTCGATTTGTACCAAGAAGACCAGCCCAATTAACAAATCGGGAAGAAAAATTTGTCTCATTTTCGGTGATTCCATTTCGTCAATTTCCTTTGGTCTAAGTCGATTTAGCGTCTTCCGTGATTCACTTGCATCAAGTTTGACCTTTTTAAAGACCAAAGGTATCGACCTTACAATCAAATCAAATTCAACGACCAAAGTCAAAGATGAATCAAAATTACCAATAATTACACGAAAAGTGATCTTTCAATTAGCAGTTATCGATTTACTCGTTTCTCTTGGAATTGAACCAGATTTAGTGATCGGCTTTTCATCTGGTAGCATATCATCTCGTTATGCTGCTAATCAACTTAATCGTGATTCAGCCTTGACCCAAGCATTGAAATACAAAAAATCGTCTCCGTCGAAGATCACAACAACCAGATCAATTTTAGAAAAATGCTCTAAATTGTTACAAAATGGCCTGAAAAACTCAGTAACCGACGAGACTCACATTCATCAGATGAGTGAATACGATTTGATTGATGGCAAACTGTCAATGGATGATTGGCAGATAATCAATATTGATGGAAAAATCCGTTTGTTGGAAAATGAAATTTTATCAACAACAGTTACTAAGGTTAACCAAAATGGTCCCGAACATAATGGTACAACTTTAACAAGCAAAGATTCAGTCGTCGATGTCACTCAATTCCTTAACGTTCTAGGTCACCTTTACCTCTCTGGACATAATATCAATATTTCTACTCTTTATCCACCGATTAAATATCCGGTTGGTCGGCAAACTCCTTCATTATCTCCGTACTTGACCTGGGATCACTCAGATCAATTCTCCGTTTGTAACTGTCTTGAATTTTACGATAATATGACCAATCTTTGTTATACCGTTGACCTAACTGACCCTGAATACGAAGAAGTCGCTCATCACGTTTACGATGATCGAACCTTAATGCCCGCCGTTGGTTATATTTATCTCCTTTGGAAAGCAATGGTTTTCAATCAACACGGAGATTCGGTCAATTTTAGAGATTATGGTTTTCGAGTTTGGGATGTTCGGATTCTCCGAGCGACAATTATTAAAGATTCAGCGACATTCAAAGTTTTCTACAATCCGGTAACCCATCGGTTCAATGTGACCTTTCGAGATCACGTTTGTGTCTCTGGATTTGGTGAATTGTTAGAAAAAGAGACAACAATTGACTTTGAAAATTACATGAATGTCGACACAAACCCGGAAGCACTGGAGATGACGGGAGATCGTTTCTATTTGGGATTGAAAATTCAAGGATTCCAATATGGATCAAAGATGAAAAATATCATCTCAATAACTTCTGACCACACTTATGGACGGATTAAATACTCAGGTGGGTGGATTGGATTAGCTGATGCTTTCGTTCAACTTGGTGGACTTACAACGGCCAAGCGAACACCTCGAGTACCAGTTGGATTTCAAGAGTTCATCTATGATCCTGAATCATTTAGCGAAGCACTTGAAATGGTTCCAGTGATTGATGAAAAAAAGGATAACGAAGATTCAACCGAACTGGAAGTTTATCTCTCCGATGAGATCGGCACCATTTCCACTTATGGTGTTTTCTTGAAAGGCCTACAATTTACCGGATCTCCACTAAAACCCGAACAATCTGACATTCGTTATGCTCGACAAGTTTTCAAAGGTTATAACTGTTCAAATATAAATTTAACTCGAATCAGTGAATCTCAGTTGATTAACTATTTCATTGCCTGTGATCAACTATTAACTAGCCCATCGAAAAAGTTAATCAACCTCAAAGATGAATGGATTAGTTATATGAAAAGTGAATCTCGTACCAAAATTTTTTCAACATTATTAAAATCGAAGCAAGAAGATTGGTCCAATTACGAACTGAAAACAAAACTCATCGAGGATTCGAGTTTCTTATTGAAAGATTATCACTTTGATTGTGTTTACAATCAACTTTTTACCTTTTCAATTAGTGTCTTTGAAAGTGAATTGTGCAAGAAAATGGTTAACGCATTTGTGATCGGACTAAATTGTGATTCAACGAGTGAAACAATTGAGAATCAATTATCGGCGTTTGCAGTTCGATGTGAATTTTCACCAAAAAAACCAAATGATTTATTGGTTTACAATGATTCGAGTTTAAGTTTATGTCAAAGTGCTTCTGATTCTATCAATAATAGTTTCGATACGGCGTTAACAGTTATCGAACCAGGAAATTTTGTTCTCATTAATTATCGTGAAAAAGTTTTACCCTTTGAAACTAAATTGGCTGAAATGTTAAACATTCAATTGGAAAATATCAACCGAACAAATCTAATTAGTAAAAAAATGGAATCATTTGATTTCTTGCAAATCTCGACATGTCGACATGCCGAAACTGGTCTAGTGTCAGTTTTGTACAAAAAGCGACCTCGTTTATTTTCAACACCACCAAGAGTGATACGAGTCTTAAGCTCAACCTACGAATGGGTTGACGATGTACAAGAAGCACTTGATAACAAGGAAGTTGATCGTCTCTGGTTAATTGCTAATGATTCTAATCGTAATGGTATAATTGGTTTGGTCAAATGTTTACGATTCGAGCCTTTTGGTGATAAAATTCGTTACATCTTTTGGCCTGGACAAGAAATTGCCGATGATCTTAATGGTTTAGAGTCAATTCTAATGAAAGACTGTTTTTCCAATATAAACAAAGATGGAGTTTGGGGAATCTATCATTTAGATGAGATTTCAATTGATGAAGGAATTACAACTCAATCAACTAATTGTTACGTTGATGTTGGTAAGAAAGGAGATCTGACAAGTTTATCTTGGTTTAAGAGTTTAGATGATGATGGTTCGTTACAATGTGTCGAAGAGGAATTCAATCCAGATCAATCAGAATCACCTGAATGTTTACACGAAAATGTGGTGACCCATTTTGCCGCTCTCAACTTCCGGGACATTCTTTTGGCTACTGGTCGATTATCAGCTGATGCTTATCCTCCTAATGATATGGAAACATTGATTGGAACTGAATTCTCTGGTATAACTGAATCAAGTGGTAAAAGAGTCATGGGAATTTGCCATGGTAGCGGAATAGCGACTCAAATTTTGGGTAAAAACATTTCCATTATGTTTGATGTTCCCGATCGATGGAGTCTCGATGAAGCTGCGACCGTACCAAATGTTTACCTTACTGTTTATTATGCTCTTTGTGTTCGAGGAGGTTTGAAACCTGGTGAATCGATTCTGATCCATGCAGGTTCGGGAGGTGTTGGTCAAGCGGCCATTTCCTTGTGTCTTGCTCGAGGTTGCCAAGTTTTCACCACTGTTAGTACCGATGAGAAGAGAAACTTTCTCAAATCGATGTTTCCACAATTGGTTGATTCTTGTTTCGCTGATTCTCGGTCGATTCAATTCGAGGAGCACATTTTACGCCAAACAAATGGCCGAGGTGTCGATTTGGTCCTAAACTCACTTACAGAAGATAAACTTCAATCCGGATTAAGGTGTCTCTCTGATGGAGGTCGATTCTTAGAATTAGGAAAATACGATATTGTTCAAAATCATAATTTCGGTAATTAGACTTGACCGATTGGAGATTTTATTGATTTCAAAATTTTCTCCTTCTCTCTTTTAATTAACAGATTCAAGTTCGATGAGGAATAACTGTAGTTTCCAAGTCATTTGTCTTTCATATGTGATTACCAAAATTTGCGAAAACTCTTGGGAAGGTCGACAATTAGCTGAACAGTTTCAGAAATTTTTCACCCAGGGAATTGAAACTGGCGAGATCAGGCCGATCGCTTCACATATTTTCGGGTCGAATCAAGTAGAAGATGCTTTTCGTTTAATGGCCAAAAGTCGTCACATGGGAAAGGTTCTCATTCAAATTCGAGATGAAATATCGTCACGTCCCCTGGAACCATTGGAAACTGTTTGTCAAACTCATTTCTACCCACATAAATGTTATATTATTGTCGGAGGTTTAGGCGGAATGGGCTTAGAATTAGCCTATTGGATGGTGTCCCGAGGTGTACAAAACTTGGTGATCACATCACGATCAGGTTTCAAATCGGACGATGACAGGGGATTCATTGAATTCTTACGTTATTATGGTCAACGTCGTCGAAACATAATTGTCACCATTAACGATGCCATGTCACCAACTATGGCATCACAGCTTATTGATTCCGCTTCCCGTTTAGGTCCAATCGGTGGGATATTTAATCTCGCAATGGTATTGAAAGATGGCCTATTTGAAAATCAATCACCTGAATCATTTACCATGGTTTGCAACCCGAAAATTCAGATCACATCAAATCTTGACAAAATCTCTAGGCAATCGTGTCCATATCTTGACCATTTTGTTTGTTTCTCATCAATTGCCACCCTTGGTTCAGTGGGTCAGTCTAATTATGCTTTTGCCAATTCATTTATGGAAAGGGTTTGTGATGAACGTCGGGAAAACGGTCTACCAGGTTTAGCGGTCCAATGGGGGCCAGTTGCCGATGTTGGTGTTGCCGCTCGACTTGTCAACGAAAAAGATTTAATCATCTTCGGTTTTGCCGCACAAAATATTTTCTCATGTTTCCATGCCTTAGATAAATTCATGCAACTTCCCCACTCGGTGTGTCAATCGTGCGTCCTCTCCAGCGGCTCCCAACAAGAAGCTCCTCTGTTTGAAAATATCTTCCAACGAATCGCTCACATTTTGGGCATCAAAGATATCGACACTCTCGATCCAAATACAACTCTCAACGAATTAGGACTCGATTCTTTACAATCAATCGAAGTGAAAGAATATTTCGGTCGACAATACAATCTAAATCTCGACGAGAAACCATTGGGAAGCTTTAAAATTGCCGATATTCGTGATATGTCCAAAAATTTAAATACGAAAGACGGAATGAAAGAGGAAACATTGGATTAGAAGAAAAAGAAAAAAAAGTTATTCTATTAATAAATCAATTCGATAACGAACTTAACAATTAACAGATTGTTTCGTGTATTTTTTAAAATTTTTCACAATTAAAAGGCTTTTAAAAAGGGGTTTCAATATAATATCTCGTTAATTGTTGATAAAATTAAAGAATCAAGTTATACTGATCATCTAATTGTTAATAGATAATCATCATAACTCAATCAAATTGATTTCTTTCATAATTTATATTGATTATTAACAGAAATGGAAACTTTTAACACTGATTATTGATTGTAAACTCAAAGGAAATCAGTTAATTGTCATTTTCCTTTAACAATTAACAACAATAATGATGATAATTATCATTTACTCATTTTGTAGATAACATTTAATAAAAGCTATTAGTTAATCTTTGATCGATCAACAAATCACTCAATTAATTGTAACCACTGCTATTAACTTGTTGTCCTTCAAATGATGATGATGTTGATCATCCCTTTAAATCATCAGCCATAAATTGTTTGCAAAATCAAGAAAGAGAAGAAACAAAATTAGTTGATTAACGAAAGAATCAAATAAAAAAAAAGAGTCAACATAAACCAGGAAGAAAAAGCAGAAAATAATTTAACCTGGAAAATTAAAGTAGTATCACAATTAACCGTGAACAATTAACTCTACAATTTAGTAAAGGTGAGTTTGAAAAGTGTTTCCATTTCCACAATCAACTAATTGTGGAGAGAGAGAAAACTAATCAACCCCAAGAATAAATTTCTTTTCAATTTTTCGCCTTCTCTTCATTCATGTTGGCACCTCATGAGAATTGACGATTTATCGTCTTGTCTGAACAAATGAACGCCTTTTTTATCTTCTCTTTCTTTTCTCTTTCTTTTCCACTTTCCCTCTCTTTTCTTTCTTCAAATTCTATTCTCTCTTTCTCATCATCTCTTTCTACCATTTGTCTTCTATCTCTCTCTTTCTCCCTCTCTTTCTCTCCTTCTGCATTGGCCTCATCTCTTTCTCTCAACATGTTCTCATCTCAATGTTATGATTTGAAAAAAGATTCTCATTAATTGTTGTTTATTTTTTTTTCTTCTTCTTCTTCTTTGATTAGTCTAATTAATCTACAAATTGTCAATGGTGTTAAGGGTTAATTGTTTTCGTAAATTAATGATAAAGGTGAGTCAAGAGTTAATTGTTTCTAAATTTTGGCTTTTTTTCTGCTTCTATTTTCTTAAACTCTCTTCATTTGTATCTCTCACTAATGTTTTCTTATTTTTTTTGTTTCTCTCTTCAGATCAATGGATTTAATTAGTCATATCATTGGATCATCATCATCACCATCATCATTTGTACCTACATCTTCATCATGTTTATCATCATCATATTCATCAACATCTTATCTGCATAATCAGTGTTGATCTCTTTGTTTTTTTTTCTCTCTCTCATTTATTTTTGTCTCATTTTCTATTCTATTTTTTTTACTTCTATCATTTTGGTGCAGAAAGAGAGAGAGAGAGAGAAAGATACAAATTTGTGGTTAATTTTTCTCATTGATTGGGTTATAGAAAACAAATGGACACTAAACCAGTTGTAACATGTAATTGTTTTTCCTTCTCTTGATTATGTTACCATTCTCAGTGATTAATTGTTCTTTCTCTTTCTATTTCTATCCCATAGATTATGCAAAAAACACAAACATACCCGACAAATTGAAGGACAAAATCACTACCAATTTACCAGAGGAATGTATTGAATGGCAAAGGTTGGTAATCATCTAATTGTTCATCTATTATGATAATTTAATGGTGATTCTGTTGTTCTCCTCTCCAATTTATGGGTGTTACTTGTGTCATCTATTGTATTTGTCTCTTTTTCTACATTTGTATTTTCTCCCACTCTTCTAATGTGAATCAATGATTGGTATTACAATTTTTTTCTATTCTCTTTGTTTGTTTTCAGATCTTATGGTCGATCTACAAAAAAGGTTTACCTGGAGGTGAATTTTGTCCCATTTAAAGACGCTACTCTCAAAGAAAATGGCCCCAATGAGGGTAGTAAACACAATCTTCTTGGACGGTGTTTACTTCATACCTATTGGTTTGAATGTAGTGACGTTGATATGTACAAAAGTCAAATTCGTGAGGATGTTATCTCCTGGATGAATCGTTTACGTGAAAATGAGATACTTGATTGGTTAATTGTGGTTGTTGATTCAAGTGAAAAAAAGAAAAGCAATAAAACCAAACTATTACCTCGAAGTACCGTTGCTGATAAGGTTCGAAGTGATTTTCCCTCTTCCATTAAAGATGCTTCGGATAGATGTGTTTCTCTTGTTAATCCAACGAAAAATGAAACCTCAGCCGGTGATAGTTACGAATTTTTCCTTGATCGCCTTCGCCTGGTTCTACTCAAATCATACTCAAAACATTTAACTCGATACGAGGATCATGTTCGAAGTCAACGGGAAAGGCGTAACTCTAAAAGTTGGGATTTTTTTAGCTTTTTCATTCTCCAAGAGGAAATGGCCTTTGCTTTCGAGATGTTATCCCTTTACGAAGATGCTCTTATCCAATATGATGAATTGGACGCTCTTTTTAGTCAATTTGTTATCAATAGTCATGTCATTCAACCACCCGATTGGTTAAAGGTTTTAATTGAACGATGCCATTCATGGGCTGGATTAACGTTATCGAAAACAATATCAACCCAGTTAAGGGAGAAAATTCGTAATTCAACCGCTTCTCTTCTTGACCTGAGAAATTATCTTTTCTCCCGTCAATGTGAACTTCTTTTAATGCAACATAAACCATGGGAATTATCAACTCGAGCTTTACCTTTTCTTCACAATTGTGTCAACGAATTAAACATTTTAGAGGTGAATTAAACTTACCCATTGATCCATAATAATTAAGATGATAATCATCATCGACATTATTTGACATCCCGTGCTACCCATTGTTAGATTATCTTATTCTTGGGGAACAATGGAATACACTTGATATCTTTTTCTATTATTTTTCAATCTAATTACATCTATTGTTAACTAATTGTTCTTTTCTCTCTCTCTCTCTCTCTCCTCATTGTTTCTTATTTTTCTCTAGATAAACTTACCTCAAGGGGCCGTCGCTTGTTGGGTATTTCTTAGTGCGCTAGAGATTTTACAAAAATGCGAAAGATACAATGACTCCTCTCAAATGCAAATCTATTCTCGTTATACTATCGGCTTATGGGCTTATGCACGGAGAAAGGTTCGATCAACTATCTTTCGATTTTAATTTTGTAAGTCAAATTTTCGATGCTCTATTTTTAATGTTCATCTATCTGCTAATGTTTCAGCTCGAGGAACTGGGAACTCTTTGTGGTTTAATGCCAGGAATGAATCATGACTCTGAGTGTATTCATAAAGTTGTCAACCTAATCTCTGGAATGGGTAATGACCCGTATTCAGGTAAAACAAAATGATTAACCGATGTTTAGCTAATTGAAACACAACAAATTGCATCAAATCCATTAACTGATTTTCTGATTTTTCTTTCTTCTTTTTTCACCTTTTAGATGAAAATCTAACGAATCCAAGTCCACAATCCGTATTAAAAGAAGCCTTATCGAAACCTGAAGCTTTTTCAAAAGCTTACCTTGAAGTCTCAGAATTAAATATTAGTACTTATAAACATATCGGGAGATTTAGATCTGGTCGTTTAGTTGGTCGTGAATTGGCCTTTCTTTACATGTATGTACAGAAAATTTGTCACTAATCATCATTTTCCAAATTATATTATACCTATTCTAATGGAAGGATAATATTTGATTAGAATTTTGTTTTTCTTTTAATATTCTCTAATATTATTTTGTTTCTCTTAGGAAAATGGATAAACATCAACAATCAATACCATTTTTACTCGATTTGGAGAAAGTGTTTACTGAAGATCGTTGGAAAATGTTACTATTTGATACAAGGAAAAATATACTCGATTGTTTCCTTGTTCTAGATGATAGAAAAAAGATATTACAATATGCTCTTCTTTTGGCTTCATCTTCTGTCCTGGAAATCGATGAAAGAATTAAATATTTAACCATAGCCAAAGAGAAACTTTCATCATTAACCAGTATCGAGATGTCAACAATTATTACCATGGAAGAGATTTTCCCTGTTCGTTCAATAACAATTAAAAGTGAAGGTGTTTTTGTAACAAATTCTCAACTTGAATTACAATTAACCCTAGAAAGTAATCTATTGGAAATTTTGTCTTTCACCTCAATTAGAGTTTACCTTTCATATGAACCTTTCTCACCACGATCTCGAGTTCGTTCACAGGATAAACAAGTTGCTGCCAAAAATTCCCTCCTTTGTCCTCATCCATTCTCATTAACCAATAGTAGGAAAAAAATTCGAACTCAGCCCAAATTTGAAACTTATCACGATACAAGTTCGGGTTATGAGGTTGGTATTCGTTGTCCAAATTTGAATCAAGTTTTCAAACGGCTCTCAGTTGAATCTACAAACAGTGGACCTTCATCATCAACCATGGAAATGATGGCAAGTGGCCGAGGCGATGGTAATAGTGGCCATCGTTTACCTGATGGAGGTGACCGAGAGGAACATTTTTTCATCTCTACCAATGTTGATCTTTCTCCGGGAGAAAATGTTTACACTCTTTTATTTGAACCTCTGGATTCGGGTTGTTACACAATCGAGGGAATCAAATGTATCGGTCAAAATGAATCAATATCATTTACTCACTCACCTTTACCTGTTCACCTTTGTTTCACTGTGATATCGGAAGAACCTAGTCTTAAATTAATTGGTAAAGATGGAAGTGATAATATAACCACCACAGGTTTAGAGATTCTCTCTGGTCCACCTCAGACAATTATCTTACGATTAAACAGTGGTAGCTATTGTTTCCAACCCGAATCAATAGTAACTCTCAAATCATCAACTGAACTATTCATGAAATTATCTCCATCGTCTTCACCTTTATCCTCATCACCCTGTTCATCCAATACAACGGTTACAATAAATGGTGGTGGTAATGAAATTAACGGCGGAGATGATTACGATTCTCATCCATCACTATCCAAACCAATCAATTATAATCCATTGGAAATGATGATCGATAATCGGGAAAATATTAATGACGATGAGCTGAGAAAAGATTATTCCAATTCGATTGATATTAATTTTAAATGTTCACTTGATCCATTTCAAAATTATGATATTCCCTTGACAATTGTCTCCAAATTTGCTCATCAACGTGGCCCAAGCGGAACTGAGCATAATATCATACTCTCTTATCCTGATGCAAAAACCCAAGCAATTAAATCAATTTCTCGTATACTCTATTTAACTCCACCTTTCATGTCAACAATTAAACTTCACTCTCTCAAGGAACGTAAATTTATCGAGATAATTGTCCGAGCCGTTTCTCGTCAACGTTTTGAACTTTTCGATGCCAACCTAATAGCCAACGAATCGGTTAAAGATCATAATAATGATTTCATCTTTAAATCATTTAATTCACCAAGGAAAATGATCATCTACAAAGATCAAATTGTCCACTATGTTTGGGAAGTTTTCTCAACCGATACCAACTCATTAACTAAATTATTATTCTCGTTAAAGTACAATCCAATTACCGATGAACAAATCTCAACCAACCCATTGGCCTATCATTCATATGATTGTGATTTCTCAATTAAATCAATCAAACCAACAACTGATTAATCAACATCAACAATATCTACAACAATCATCACCCAATCATCTCACCATCATCAGAAATTTTTTTTTGTCTTCTCCTCAACAATTAAAATTTTCAATTCATCATCAATCATATACAAAAAAAAATTAATTAAGACACAGAAAAGTTATCGAGTTTAAATTGATTGGAAATCTAATTTTCCTTGTTAATTATTCTCATTAATCAAAATTGTGTCTTTTTTTACTTTCTAATCATGTTAAATATTTTTTAGAAAAATTCAACTTCGTTGATTATTATTATTATTATACATTAATTATTATATTATATATAAATTATTGTTTTTAAATTGTCTTCATAGAAACAACAATTATCTCAAATAATGAATCATTAAATTGGTAATGATTAAAATTTTATTTATATTTCAAAGTATTTAGTCAATGAACTAATTTAATGAGCAAAATATTAATCATAATGATTATTTCAACATGAACATGATTTAATTAAACACCCACATGAATTTAGGGTAATCATTATAATCTATTGATTTTCATATTGATTATCGTTAATTTAATCAACCATTTAAAAGGATGATACTTTTTAATCACAGGACATCAATTTTTCTCATTTAAATTGTCAATGATTTATAATCAATCAATGGCAAAGTGAAATTAGTTCAGACAAGCAATCAAAAAGTTCTGGAAATTTTTTTCTCATTCAATTTTGATTCTTTTGTATTGATAATCTACCTGTGGTCCCTGTATGTTACTATTTGTCACTATGATGATGATGATGATTAACCCATTATTATGAGGCCGATAATTTAAAGCAATCAATCAATAAATTGTTGATGAAAATAAGAAACAACAATAAGTAACTTATTGAATAAGTATTAGCCTGGAAAATGAAGATGATGAAAAAAAAACTAGATTTTCACCCAAATCGATTGATTTAAATTGTAATCTAATGATTATAATAACTGACAGGGGAGATCAGGGAGATATAATTAGAATCAGAATCGATAGAAAAGAAAATGTTAAAGTTTTTTTTTCACTGAGAAATTGGTGATAACTTGATCGTTGATTTGATGATTTGAGAGTAGCGATTTGATTGAATTCAGTTAATTGTTGAGCCTTTAATGTATGTTGATTGTTTGATTGTCACTTTCATGTGAATTTTTGGTCCTTGTCTTTGTTTGATGTTATTATTTCATCTTATTCACTTTAGTTTACAATGTTCATTCGGTTGATTACTTTGATAGTAATTCTTTTTCCGGTTATCATATCCGGTCAAGAATCGTTGAAAACTTATCGTAATTCATCATTATCTTCATGTTCTTGTGATGATCAAGAGAAATCACTTTGTTATGGTTTACCTTCAGTTTGTTTGTTCGATTCTCGTACCAATGTCAACTTTTAGTTCAAATTCGACAAAAACAAGATGACCTCACGGAGAACGGGCTACAAGTGACCCTTTGTAGTACGGAGGTTAAAGAGGGCTCATGGTATGGATTTGCCTTCTCAGAGGATTCATCAATGGGCGACGATTTCTTAGTTCATTGTGATGTCTTTCTAAATGGTTCACTCTCTATTGGTGAAGGTTTGACCACTGGTCATTCAGGTATTGCCTCACTAGACCCAGGAACATTGATCTTGTCTAAACCTGAATCGCTAGTATCAAATGTCACTTTCAATGGGTCAAGTATTAGTTTAGTGAATAAACGACTTGAATGTTCATGGAATCTGAAAATTTCCGGTGAGGCTCGAGGTCGAATCTTTAACCTGAAACTGAACAAATATCATTTAATCTTGGCCTTTGGTCGGCTAACTAAAGACGGAGCTGTTGAGTATCACAATGGTGCTCGTTCGGCGTCATCAAATTTAGTTAATCTCTTTCACACTGGTCTTATAACGGGTTGTACAGGTTCGATCTATTGGTTGGTTCGATTCCATGCTTTCTTCATGACCGTGGCCTGGATGATGTTCATTTCAATATCAATCACAATGGCTCGAAATTATCGGGACGCCTGGACATATGTTAGATTTTTCAACTTGCACATTTGGCTTATAACCCACCGAACGTTGAATATTATTGCCGTTACTCTAGTGGCCATTGGAATGACCTGTATCATTATTCACACGGGAACATTTGACATGTGTGCCTCGTGCCATACAACTGCGGGAACAATTGCAAATGGCCTGATGATCTGTCAAATAGTTGCTGGGCTTACAAGCCCATCTAATGAACGGACAAGATTACGAAAAATGTTCAACATTTTCCATGGACTTGGTGGACACATAACCTTTATTGCCGCTTGTGTTGCCCTTTACAAAGCGGGTGACCAGAAATACTTTCGTCTAGGTTTGACCTACAATTGGTTAATTATCTTGTTCATTGTTATCCATTATGCAGTCCAGGTAATACTACAATCAAGTCAAATGTTGATCAAATCGTTGAACGCTGTCCAAGACATTTCGATCACTTCTCAACCAGGTCATTTAACGCCAATATCGATCAAAGAGTCAAATGCAAATTCGACCTCAATGTTATACGATTATGTTCAAGATAAAATTGATCGATTTAAATTCAATACTCTCCTTTATTATATTCCAACAATTATCCTGTTAACCATAACCACGTTCATTGTCGCAATGATAACTGGACAAACAGTTAACTAATTGTCTATAACTGGATTTACAATCAACGAGAACAAAAAAGTTATCAATGTAAAATAAAATCTCTTGATTATCAACAACTATCCAAACAGTTATTTCTTGAAAACTTCGAAAAATGAAATAAAATTGATCGAAAGTCCAAAACTTCGAGAAACATAAACTTAGAATTAGATGAAAGTTATTTAATCGTCGGCGATTTTATTTACTGTTATTAACTTTCCATCCACTTGGAGGCTCTATAAGTTCTAGAACTCAGTTATTATTGAAATGACAGAATCGATGGTAACCCTGAATGTAGACAAAAACAAACTGAATATCATCAGGGAGAGTGGATGAAGGTAGATGATAGGGTGGAGAGTGTGGGAGCAAAAAGAAACCAGGGAGATAAATTCAAGATTTTTATCATTCCCAATTTCAGTTTATCAACAATAAACTTTTTCCACTGGTGGATTTTTCCCTTTCGCTCTCACCACCAAACAGAAAAAGCAAAACAATATCATCACCATCACCATAATCACCATAATCAGTTGATTGTTATTATTGTTTCTCAATGAAAACAAAAAGTTTCCAACTTGAATCTTAATCTATTGTCAATCATGATCGTATTTCAAATGTTTGGATTTTTTGTTTCGCTTCATCATTTTAATGATGCGACAAGTTAACAATGGATTAACCTGTTAATCAGTTTACTATTTAATCATCTTGTCATCATCATAATCATCACCATGGGTAAACGTTGGCTTATTAGACAAATTATCATGAAACCACTTCGAGGACTCAAGGAATTAATTCTGTGCCTTATTCTGATAACTTGCATCTTTTGCCTGTCAATTGTTATCATCGATTCATCAGCGCGTCGATCAATTTTCAAAGGTAATTGATTTAATATCGATACTAAAACTTTACCAACCTTCAACTCCCACACTTCAGAATATAATTGAAACTTACCGATATTCAGTTTAAATCATGGATTTAGAAAATTAAATCGATTGAAAAAATCCTAAATATCAATTCCATGTTGTGAAAGTTATTCACCATTGAAACAAAAGTGTATGAATACTTATCATTAATACCCTGGGATTTATCAGAGTGATGATCATGATAATGAATCACAATCTAGTCCATGATTAGATTTATAGTCTGATAAATAATCCAGAGAAAATCTCATTTTTTAATTATTAACATTGCAAATTCGTATTGAACTTGTTAGTTAATTTTCAATGAAAATCTGAAATCATTTCATTATTTACTCAGTTTCATGATATTCATGATGATCACCAAGGTAAACAAATTGAACCATTTTCATAAATTGATTGTGCTGATTTAACTTTCCAATTGCAAGTCAACTGAATTAAATCAAGTCTTATGAAACTTTAACAATTGATTTTTCAACTTTATTTACAAACTTAATCAAGTCTCAATTAGTTGGTTAACTTGATAAGGTAAAAGCTTTTTTTCCCAATTAAATTAATGATAATCAAAAGTTTCGATCAGTTAATTGATTAACTTTCAACGAATTCACATTTTGATGATAAACGTTCAATGGAAATGATTAGATTGTTAATTAACTTTAAAATGGTTATTTTTTGTCATTAATCATGAGAATCACAGGTTAGATTATTGATTAGAAAATGAACTTTTCATCTTCACCCAATTTACTTGAATCATAATAATAAAAGTTTGACAATCAAGTTTAATCTCATCATTTCAATTCAAATCTTATCAAAAATCAAGGTTCAAGTTGATTAAAACAATTTACAGACAATCAAAGTTATCGTATTGAAAATGTTCAATTCAAATCAATCTCCATGAGAGTCAAGGACAGAATTTGAAATAATTTGAGAGAAAAAAAAGTTCTAAATGCTGAAGAAGAAGAAAAAAAATCTCGACTCATTTTCTGTCGAAATTGTAGATTCCTGATGATGATTATGATTCCATAGGATTCAAGATTTATCTTCTTCATCATCATTTTTTTCTCTCTCTCTCTCTCTCTTTCTAGTTTTCTTTTCTTTGGAAAACTTTTTTTTTTACTTTCGAATCGAAGTTCGAGAAAAGTATATGTACAGAGTGAGAGAGAAAGAGATATAAAGAAGAGTAAAAAATAACAAAAAGTTCTGACAAAGTCCAAGAGGATATAAAGCTAATCACATGGTGGAATTTTTTTTCCAGGGTGGAAAATGAATTGTCTCCAAAAGAGAAGATACATCTTCCTCATCATCATTTTCCCACCTTATATACACTTTCCAGTTTCCATTGAACATTTTCAAACTTCATTTTCTTGTTATCATGTAACCATATCGAGCTTGTTATCGTTACCTTTAGATTTCAATGGTAATCATTTAATATCCACATACTCAGGAAAAACTATCAATGTTTTCAAATACAATTTAATGATAACAATACAAATTGTCAACGTTATCGAATGAAGAAAAAAACTGAATCGATATCTATTGATTCCAGGTTAACATGATAACTTCAAATTTTTCCTCAGAGTTCATGATACTCTGTATGTAAGGATTACCTTTAAATCAACGTAACTTTTACTATTTAAAAGTAAAGTCAAAGATACTGACCAATAGATTGACCACCAATCAGTTTAAAACTAATAATTGGTCGAAAGTTTGATTTCTTTACAATTAACTTGACAAGCGAAACTATTGATCAGAAAATGACAAAGAAAAATTTTTTATTCTGAGATTCTGCTGACCAATGAGAACGATTTTCAGACCAAGTTACCATTCAAATTACTTTCTTGATAATTTTCCTTCGAACTCATTAGGAATCTGATAATATATAAATTTTTCGATCAACAAAATGTCTACAATAATTCATGGTGATTCTTTGACCAGAATTTCTTTAACAGAATTTTTCAGAATACAAACACTTCGAGTATTGTCCAAGCGGTCATTTGCTAATGACCATCATATTAGAAAATGAAATCCCCTTAAAGAATAAGAACTTTTATTTCTTCTCTGTGATGAACTGAATCAGATAAAAGAAAATTGAAACTCTACATCTTCTTCAAAAATCATTTGATTATCTAAAGATAATCATGTTGGTCATCAAGAAGATAATTTAATTCACTTGGACATCAAGAAACTAAGAATCGAGTGTATTAGTTGAAGAGGTAAAAAAGGGATGATAAAAATCTTATGATTTAATCATATCAATAATCATCAAGTAACTTGTAATACTTAAGCTAATTAATGAAACTGTGAATCCATCAAATTGATCATGATAATCGGAAACAATTTATCTGAAAAAGTTTCATGATAAAGTTCAAGAAGCAGATTAAACCTGAAAGATTAGATATTGAATAACATTGTATATTTTAAGTCGCATCCTAATACATCATAATGACCATTATAATGATCTTGACCAACAGCAAATATAATGACGATGAGAAGATACAATTGATTGTTTGATAATTGTCCAGTAGTCTAACTAATAATGATTAGGAAAATGTAATTTAACCTGATTATCATTATAATCCAAAGGTTTAATCGCCTTTGAGGTTTCCATCTTTAGGGATAATCACAATCTAATCTTACTCCTCATTATCATTGTCACTACTTGAATCCAACAAGCAATTAAGATAATACATCAACACAGATCATCATCATTATCATCATAATCATCATCCTAATAATACAATTTAAACTAACCACCATAATAATGATGTAACAATAATGATTATACAATAATATACAAGAGTAATGATAAAATAATCATCATTATTATCATCTTAATGATGATAATCTAAGAAAGAGGAAGCAACAATAATGATGATAACGGTAAATTTTTATATATATAATCCTTGAATTAAATTTAATTGAACAGAATGATCAGTAACTAATCAGTTTGATTAACCAACAGAGAGATGATTAGGTTTTAATTTTCAAAAAAAAGGTCAAAAAATTTGAGATTAACTTTGTTACTATTCATTGACTTTCATCATGAACTTTCTGAGTTTATCTCCATCATTATCTTTACCATGAATCAACTGATCTAATGATGTTATTACACCATCTCTTTATGAACGTGATATACACATGATGGTCCAGTTGAATGGTCAGTTTCATGGTGAAAATGATTGTGATAATTTAAGTAACACGTTCCATGTGACTTATCATGTATTATATTCATAATACTTTGGATCAACTTTTTTCTGCTGTTGTTGAATATTTCTCACTCCCAGTAACTCAAATTTCATCCTTTTTCATAAAGATTATCATCATCATGAATAAATAGATTTATCTTTTATCATCATCATCATCATCATCGTCACTATTTCCTTATATAAGATTAACTTTCCTTACTTTCTCATCTTGATAATATCTATCACCTGATGATGATTCTGATGATCATGATAAACATGAGATTGAGATGATTGAAGACAAAAAAGAAAAAGAATATATTTTTTTCTTCATTTTTTTCCTGCTGAACAAAATATTCATTCCCGACAAATATGGTGCACTTTTTCATGATTATTTTGTTATCATGAAAACTCAGATAAAATTGAACTTTTTATCGTAACAATCGCGTGTAAGTTTACAATCAGGATAAAAACTTTTCCCATTTGATAATAACAACAGTTGAAACAATACAAATATCATGATTCTGAATAATAATAAATTGTTTTGAGATGAAAAAAAAACCATGCTGACTTTTAATATGATTTAATCATGTGAACAATTTAATTTTGATTACGATTATCGGTTCAATTATTGATGGGAAAACAACAAAAAAACAAACTGACCAAAGTGTTTCAATGTTAACCTTTTTGTTTCCATCCCATATCTTGACCATTTATTCAGGTCATTACGAGTTAAATCATCAACAATTAGACAATTCTCTTGGGACAAGTTATCATTATGTTTCTCACGAGTCTAACTGGATGAATTCAGGATCATCATCATCATCACCAAGTGAATCATCATCATCATCATCGTTGACCAATAACAATAATTTCAATGACCGATCCTTATTCTGGTCATTTCCATCATCCTTATTATCATCATCTTTTCAGTCGGTTAAACCAAATAATCAAATCAATTTATCAGGAAAACTTAATTCTGGTTCAATTGGAGCAAAAATTTACCAACTTTTATCAAAGGTAAGAAATTAATTAACTTGATTTCTTTCAAATTAAACTTTAATTTTTCTGGTCAATTGAAATTGATCATCTTGAAAATCATTAAATTCATTGAATCAGTTTGGCTAATCAAAAAGATGATATTAATTTATAAACAATCGGGTAACAATTAACATAAGATAATGAACCAAATGGATAGACAATTGTTACCTCATGTCCACTCATTATAAGCAATTAAACTCATTAACTATTAAATGATGGTCATTATTAACTTCATCACTGTTCATATATTAGCCTTAATCATTATCCTCCTTTAGGTATAATAATAACACTGGACACAAGTGGACACACTTGTAATTAGCATCATTTAGCTATTATGAAGCCATTAATTTATTAATAGCTACTGGTCAATAATAGTAACAGTAAATGTTCATAGGTCTTTATGAGTTTGAATGAAGCATTGACCATTTAAACAATATCACATCTCAAAATCACTGACCACTGCTACTTTATCATGGCCATCAAATTATTAAACAACCAGACTGATCAGATTAAGTTTTTACCTCTTAATCTGAAACAAAAAAAAAGGTTAATCAACTTAATCTATCAATTGAATTTCAATTCAAGAGCAAAAAAAGTTACCATGGAAAACTTTTTTCCCTCAATGTTACATATTGACTTTTTTTTCTGCACTATTATCATTTCAAATGCTCTAGTTAATATTATTATTATCTCATATTCATTAGTAGGTCACTCATCTATATCATCATGGGAGAGAAAAAAAGTTCTGAGTATAACAAGAGAAGAAAAAAAAAGTTCATGAGTTTATATTCTGTTGGTTTTTATTCAGGTGATTTTCTTATTCTGATTATCATTCAGTCTGAATATTTTACATGGATTCACAATCTGTCATTAATTTCAAGTCGATTTTTTCCCTGTACTTTGAAATATTCATGATGATGATTACAAGAAGAACAGACTGAGTTAATGATGATACAGAACTTTTTAGATCTCTCTCTCTCTCTCTCTCTCTAACATTAAAGTTACTCTCTGACTTGATACTGACCAACATTGATTTTTGTTGTTCTTGTTGACCATAAGCTCTGATATCATTAAGCTTGTATCCATCTCAGTGATTAAGGATTATCAATGTAATAACATTGAGTTTCAAATGGTTTCACAGTGGGTTTGGTCAAACAATGGTCATCTTCATCTTTGATCATTTCTTTTTACGATTCTTGACCAATCTGAATCATTATCTATCAAATTGGCTTGTTGAATATTTTATTTTATTGGAATCAACTTGCAAACATTGGACTGATTTCCTTGAATTGACAATTGAGCTCATGAGATATTCTCAAGATTAATTCAAGTATAATTTTAAAGTGAAATATCAGCAAATCAATGATGATCATTATGAGTAACCAATGTTCATTTATTAAACATCGAGAGAGAGAGAGAGAGAAGAAAAAATCTGAACATTATTTTCATGAAAGAAAAGTAAACTAGTTCACAAACCATAATAATCTTTTTGATAATCAACTGATAACCTCAGAACATGGGAGTTCATGAAAACTGAATTCAAGATTGATATTTATCAATACTGATTGGGAGGGTATTCTGATAGAGGTGCTAATGTATCATAACAAGATATCAGTTTGTAAATTAAATCGTTACATTTGAGTCGATTAAGGTAGACAAATGAATTGAGAATGAGCTTACTAAATAATTGATTTGAATCATCATGAAAATCATCAAGTTGATAACCATGAAGAGGTGATGAAAATTCAGAGTAATAACTTTTCTTATTAAAGGTAAGTATATATACAGTAAGGATATTGAGTAAATTTACCTTTGAATTAATAGATGAAAGTGAATCCATGTTTTTCTTATATTATGATGAAATTATCTGAGATTTGGAAATGAAGAGAGGAAAAATTTGCTCAGAATTCAGGAAATGCATTTGAAATGTGAATTAGATTCTGAAAAGTTCCTACAATCATTTATTATATTACCTTTTTTTTTTACTTAAATACGAACAGGAAAATGAGGATTCTCTTAGTATTGATGATCACTTTTGAAGATTCAGATTCAATTCTGATGGTAGGTGAAGGGAAATATATTTATTATGTATTGTTGGGCTTAGGTGATCAAAGTGATACGGTATCATGTTCATCATCATGGTGATCATTTTGATGACAAATCTCATTGGAAATGTTTGTCACGATTTTGATAGAAAGTGGCAAATGAAGAGAGAGAGAGACAATAAACCGAAACTCTAAAGAGTTCATCATGTTTATCGTTTTCATGGTGATCATCATCATGAACTTTTTCCGTCTTTTTTGCCAGGGAGAAAAGATAAACTTTCAAACAGTTTATCTGGATGGTTGAACAACATGCTTATACAACAATTGAGATTATCAATCTAATTGAAGCAATTAAAATGTTTAAATTGATTAGGAAAAATGCTCATCAGTTTCATGAGGTTTTCTAATATTCTGGAAACTTTTTTTTCTTTCCAAGACTTCGAATAATGAAAATCGATCAGAATATTCAACGAATTTTCGAAGAAAAAAATAAATACATAATATTCTCAAGAATATTTTAGTAGATCGAAACTCTAATTTAATGATATTTACTAATATTAGAATAAAGTTTTGATAAGATTGAGGAAAGCAAAAGCCTGAGGCGTTTTATTTTGTGACTGGAAAAAAGTATTACGAAATTATTACATTGATGATGATGATAATTGCTGGTGACGATGGTGAAGATGATGTTTCAATGAATCACCATGTAAATTGAATGAAATTGTTATGATTAAAAAACAAGAAATGGAAAAAATTTTCTTATTCATCTAAATGCAAATCGTTTTCTCACCATTGAGAGAGTTGAGTTAATTTACTCTGAATTTTTCAGTTCATCAGATTTTTGAAACACAGAATCCACATGGAAATGTTATATAATTTATATGTATGATTCTCACTTTTTCGTGGTAAATTTAATTTCCAGTTTATATATAATTCATTCCCTTGGAAATTCAGACTTTTATCCTGAAAAAATTTCGGCGAAAAAAAAACTCTTAACCATTTTCAAATCAAATTCATTGCTAACCTGAAACTAATTATCATGCAAAAAGGTGAATCGTTATCATGGAAAAATATTCATGGGAAGTTAATTCAGATTTTGATTCTTCAGGTTGTCAGAATTTCTCGATTTTCACTTAGAACTGAATATCTGATATAATTAACCAATTCTGTGATAAATATTCATGAATAATTTAATGCTAAAGGTTGATCAAACATCTTGAAAGTTTATAATTAAGAGGTAAGATGTTTCTAATTAACTTTTGTGTTGATGCTAATTAGTTGACTATTATCATTGATGACAGCCCATGAATAGGAAACAACAACAATTTAATAACAAGTATTGAACATGATTAATGATATTTATCATTTAAAAATCATGTTAATGAATCGTAAGGTTGAAAGTTGATAACATGACAGGTTACAAGTTGATCAAGATGATGATAACTTTTCATCCTCATCCTCATCATCTTAATCATCCTCATCCCCATCATCCTGCGTTAATTTATGTCGGTAGAACTTTTTTTCACTCTCTCTCTCTCTCTCTCTCTCTCTCTCTCTCTCTCTCTCTCTCTCTCTCTCTCTCTCTCTCTCTCTCATCACCCTGACTCACATCTATCTAATAATTACCCTGAATTCAAGACTTGGAATCATGTAGTTACATTAATTTACTCTGAGTTCACCACGAAGAGGTTTGGGATATAATCTAAGGTAGGAAGTGGGTGGGATAGAGGAATAGGTAGATAATGATGATGATAGAAAATGTCTATCAAGAATTAATCCATTAGAACTTTTTTTCTTCTCCTTCGAAACTAAAGTTATCTAATTTTATTCGATCTCTTCAAACTCTTCTTCTCAGTTGATGATCATCAAGATGAAGATGCGAAAAGAAGAAAAATAAATTGACAAATTAGCTTTTTTTTTATTCTTTTATCAAATTAACATCAACTTGACGGGAATTTGATGATGTCCACTTTTTCTCATTGACCCATTCAAAGTTTCCACTCTCTCAATTGTAACTGATTATCTATAAATAGTAATAACTAATAATAATAATGGAACTTATAACTTCCGTTTCCGTTGATGAATCTCATTTAATCTGTTCCTTAATTTAACTAACTATTTCTGGACTTTCAGAGTAATATTTACCGCCACCACCACCACCACCACCATCATCATCATCATCATCATCAACTCATTTCCTTTAGATTGTAATAACACCAGTAATCAGTTTACTCATGGTAATATTATCAACTATTCTGGATTCTCTATGTTTTTATATATCTCATTGTTATCATGAAAAACAGAAACTGTATTATTTCATGATGATTCAATATTGTAAACCTGTTCATCTAATCAGATTTTACCTTTTCCACCAGTGGCATTAAAACTCACCTAAGGTTGTTATTTCAACTTTTTTTTGTTTTCTTTTCTAGGATTTAGTTTTCATTATGATGATGATGATAATGATGATGAACCTGGAACATCATGAATACTCATAAGGCACTTTTTTCCTCTCCATGATGATTAAGATGAAGGAAATTGATGATGAGAAAAAAAGAGAAAAGAAAATAGTGAATATCATCATCATCATCATTATCTTCATCATGATGAGATTGGATTCATCGGATCTTTCTGAGAACAAGGAATCAGAATCATTTCATCCCCATGAGGAATCTGCATACAAATGGACAAAATAATGATGATAAGAGGTTCATGGTGATGATGATAATGATGATAATGTAGAAAAAGGAAAAGGAAAAGGAGAGAAACGAAAGATTGACAGATTTAAGGAGAGGAAAAAGTTCCAAAGTGAGAAAGAGATTATTCATTAATTGATTCGAATGTTTCAAATTGATTATCAATTAATTTCATGTGAAACTTTTCCGTCCATTGGATTTATCAGAGCAAATCAAGTTAATTACGATCAGTTAGTAA